CATCTTAACTTTTCTTAAGTCAACTCAAATCTTCAACAATGGTCTTAACCTCTCAAAGATATACACGACTGTCTAAATTTATGGAGTGCATACCGAAGTGAACCAATCAGCCTCCGTGCCCCAATAAAAGCCTAATGGATCTTCTTACGAAACTCCAATCGTAAACGTGAAAGTTCACAAATCGATTTCAATACATTTTCCTCCATTTGAGCGTGTTTAATTAAATTCTTTTCATTACTGTCACTTTTATGGAATGCCCTCGCTGACATTTGTTAAAAGCCTATGGCGTAAGATAGATTGTTCTAGTTATTTAGGATATACTATACTAGCTGTGTCAGCGACTTCGTCCGCATAGAACAGTTATTTTGGGCTTCCAAATTTGTTTTTGCAAACCTCCTCTTCATCTTTATAAATTTAAGCTGTCACCCACGAGGTCGGTCGCGTCTCGTCGTTCTTAAAAGTTAATCTTAGCTAGAAAAATAATGTCGCGGACATTTTTTCAGGTCACTTAAAGAGAAATCATTCGTTCATACATATTTTTTGGATATCTTGAACCGGTACCGCAGCGTACGCATCGGAAACCCACAGATATGAATACACTTTCCTGTTTTTTACACATTACCCGCTGTTTCTTCGCTTCTATTAGTCACAGTGCTACGTTTTATAGCCTTCTAACTAACACAAAATATTTTTTCAATTCGAACCAGTTGTTCCTGAAATTAGCGCGTTCAAACAAACATACAAACTCTTCACCTTTATTATATTAGCATAGATAAATATATGTTCCTTCAGTAAATAATATCGCCATTTTAATTTTTAAATCATTTTAAATGAAACAAATATACACAAACTCCGTCGTTTAGCGGATCTAAAAAAGTAATTTGTCTCAAAAAGGAACGAAAAAGGCAAGCGGAAAACGCTTGAAATGTTATCTAAAAAACTTTTAACTCTAAATTATATCCTTCAGGAGATATCAGATGCGCAGTTTGCTCAGAGGAACGGAAGTGAACTTTTTGTTGAATAAGCTGTCTAGTGGCGAACAATTCTAACTTCCACTGAAATCTAGTTTTGATTTTAAACGAGTTTGAATCGGGTTAAACGCTCATTAAAAGTTTAGATTATGCACTTTTTAGGGTTCCATTTGTTTTAGATTATCGAAGACTAATTACTTGTACTCTCCGATTATCTGAAAAAAAAAATCTTCGGTTGGAAAATTGGTTCTAGAATATCCAATTCCGTCCGGTTCACAACCATCCATGGATGAAAAAGCCGTCACGTTTAATCATGTTTCGGTTTCAGTCTGGGTATTTCCAAATATACAAAGCCAAAATCGGACGACAGCCCATCTTGTTTAGATGTTGTTCGGCTGGGGTATTCCATCTATCGTCAAGTGAACCCCGTGCTCGTCTGTCCTCCTCGATTATATCTGTGGATAGTGGTATACGTACCGGAAGGTTTATCGCTATTCTTACCACCAATTTAATATCCAGATTTCCAAAGTCCAACATGTTCCAGAAAAATCTATATATTATAAATGCGAAAGTAACTCTGTCTGTGTGTCTGTCTGTCTGGCTTTAACTCTAAAACTACTGAACTGATTTAAATTAAATTTGGTACACAGATATTTTAGAGCCTGAGAGAGGACATAAACTTTTGAATGCCAAAAAGGGTTGTAAAAGAGGATGAAAGGTTGAATAGAAATTCGTGGTTATTGAAGCTAGAACAATGAAACTTATTTCTTTGACTTTATGGTAGTAAGAGTGGGCGTGGGTGTGGGCGTGGGATTGAGAATGGGAGTGAGTGTACGAATAGTCTCATTTCGTGGGATTGAGAATGGGAGTGAGTGTACGAATAGTCTCATTTACAACATAGACTGGCTGCCTCAAATGCGCCCTTACATAAACTAATAAACAGCCTAAATAGTTAAAAATTCTATCCCAAGTCACTATTCTATGCGGACAAAGTCGCGGGCACGGCTAGTTATAAATAAATTAGAAAACATTTTGTCCCGTTGGGACCCACGACCCGTTGATTATTAGCTAATCGTTATTACACTAACGAAGCCGTCAATGATAGAGTGCACAAGCATATTTTTAATACCCGCTTTAAGTTTTGTATTGTGGCAAAACGTTAGCGGATCTAAGCAGCTTTGATCTAGCTTAATTCTAATTCTATTATGCTATTAAAAGCACGTATGAAATCCGCAGTAGTGTAATACAATGGAACGAAACAATAACGTCCAATTTAAAAAGCATTACCCAACTCGCCTGGACCGCTTAATGATACCCGCAAACTTTATATTCGCGCCGGCTTGTTCGCGAAATTGTTCTTTTGTAATTTTTATTTATCTGAATTAAGTGCGCTGCGAGTGAATTATGGCTGCCATTTTCATACGATAAACAATGGGAGAGTTTCAAGGCGTTTACCCGTTCGCCTTTCTGGAAATGGGATATGACTCTCCTTGTGTGTGCCGCGTCCGTAACTAGCATTGCGTTCTCTTGTAACGCGTTGTTGTCTTGTTGTTTACTTATCATTATATTTACAACATAAGTTTGGGTTAGACCATAAATTAAACATATTTATGTAACGGACAGTGAATTTTTGAATGAAAGCGGTAAAAAGGGGTTGGGAAATTGTGGAAATTAGTACTTGTAATAATAAAAAAAATGTTTAATACGCGTTTATAACCATTACAAATGTTTTATTTAAATGGCTTTTACTCGCGTGAACTACACATATTTTTATCAGTATTTAATACTAGCTGACTTGGAAAAAGGTTTTTTTGACATATGCAGTATTTCCACTAAAATTTGATTGTCACAAAGACGTTTCTTGTGAGTTTATCTTAAAAGATAGACATATACTATCGCGGATATTTTTTTTCAAGGTTAAAGAGAAACGCAATAAAAACCCACAAAGACAAAAAAACTCCTGGTTTTTTCATATTGCCCGCTATTCCTTCGCTCCCGCATTGGTCGCAGCGTGATGTTTTATAGCCTTTGAATAAAACACTTGAATGATTTAAAACACGATACATATAAGTTAAACTTATTGGAAACTTATATTCGCCTAAAGCCTTCCTCGATAAATGTACAACCAACACAAACTCTATAATATTAGAATAGGCAGCGATGTTCGTCTTTTAAACATTACATAATTGTCTGAATTTGGCACGTCAACTGTTTGCTCTAACTACCAAATGTTCCAATTTGTTACTGTAAAAAGCTGTTAGCTTGAAAATAGTCTAAACGACAAAGCTGTCTCTGTCGTGAGCCGTTTAAAACAGATAATTTACTTCTAACTTTTCTTTTTAACGTGGATAAATACAAAAAGTTTATTTCGAGGGCGATACTGATCGCTGTTTCCGTGGAAATATCGTGAAAATAAATTAGCCATTCGCAGTTATCACGTCCGAAACGTAATTTTATTGGGCATAATTAGTTTTAGATTTTCTACAATAGTCTAAGAGACGGTTACAACATACGGACACACAGAAATACTCTTTGTACATGATATAATGCTTTTATATTAGTTTGAATTATTATAATCTTTATATAGTAGCGTATATAAAATTAAGAATAATTCTAGTTTGAAAAATTTTGACACGGGCGAGTCTCGAAGCCAAGACTATAAGCTCCGTGTCTTTGTTCGGAATACATTTTGCTAGAGCATAACACATTAGCTGGCCCAACGGACAATACACTGTCGCGGCTCCGAGTCCCCCCTATTTAATGAATTTGAACTAATATTTTTTTAGTGCTCATCATGGCATTATACATTGCGCGAGAGTTGCATGTATCGATGGGTTGAAGAAATTCGACGATGATCGAGGAAACAATAGCTCAATCGGTTATAACAACAGCACGGAACGTTGTGGATGTCAGTTCAAGTCCAGCCCGTGTCGTTATTTTTTTTTCTTCAATCTAAATAGCTTTTTAAATTAACCTATATTCTCTAAGTTAGTTGATATGAAAATATCGAAAATGTTCTATGTATTTAAATAACGGCTTAAAACGCGATATATTATATTAGTTGAACTTATATGAAAATTATTTTAACTACTCGCGTAAACTACATCAGTATGTTCTATGTATGTTTCTCGCCATAAAAACATGAAAGCTTAATAAAAGGATCTCAAATCTTTCCAACCTCACTTGGAAATGTTCCACATAATCACAGCTTTGCCATAGCATAATATCGCCGGGCCCATCAAGCGTAACAGCGTTTAATATCGTAGTTTTATACGCAATAAGCTGTTAATGAGCGGTCATTATCTTAGTCACCCTTCGACACATTTCGGGAAACGAACCACAGATGTTCGGAACTGGGAAGGCTTTAAACACAATTCCAATTATTGCTTTTAAATTAATGATTATTGCTTATGTTAAGTAACTATGTTTATTACAAAAGTCCATTTGACTGTGGGTTGTTACAGTTTGTTATATTGCTTTAACTGTTAATTTATATATCACCTTTCAACACTTTTGTTATTAAAAATTAATACCAAGTATATTAATAATACAAATAGCACATTACCCATATGTGTCTAAAGTATATAAATGTACATAATATATTAAAACATAAAATACGTATGTATTGTAGATTTTTTTATAAACAAAGCAATTTAGTAAAGTCATTAGGCAAAAATGTAATCAAAATGTAAGAGAACTTATTTGCAACAAAATCAAGACCTTTTTATTTGTAATTTGTCATTGTGTTTAGGAAATTCAGCGCCCTAAACGGGTTAAATTAATTATGTATTAAACATGAACTAACTTATGAAAATGTAGTAATGAGGTATATAGAAAAATAAAGTAAATGTAATAAGCTTATTGATTAAATAAACTTGTCTTCCTTTAAATAGTACATTTTGGGAAACGTTAAAAAAACATTTAGGTAAGTTATATTTCTATGAAACCTTATAACAAAGAATTTAACTAATAGATAGATAATCTAGCCTCTTGCTTACACAACAGTCAAGTGTTTTCTTTAAGTATATATTAGTAAAGCTTTATTTTTCTTTGTCTTCTTTCTTGCTGTTTACTTTTTCCTTTTAATGGAACATAGATATGCGCCATCGGAACACCTCTTTTATTTAAGACATTGTTTTCAACATTGTTAGTTTCTTCACTTAAATTTTTGGTACCTACGTGCGGAAGAATATTCTCAAATATTTCAATACTAATTTGGGCATCATGAGTAGGAAGTAAATCGAGTTTACTTCCAATAATTTGTTCGACTATTTTTATACTTATATTATTTTGTTTTTCTATTTCGCTAGTCATTTTTTCTATCATGTCGGTTACACTAGCGTTATTTTTGTCATCCATCTGTGTTAGTTTTGCATTTGAATGGTAGTCAGTTGTTTTATCATCAGAATTCAAGGACACAACTCTAAAGTCATTGTTATACTCGGTAGCGTTGAAATCTCTTTCATGAACATTTCGTAAAGTTTTACTCGTGAATTCAGCCAATAAATCATTTGAATTATTCATGCGCATACTCAAATTGAGTTTAACGTTGTTTGTGTTTCCATCCAAACTGCCCTCAATCATATTGTCAATTAGATTTTCTAAAGAAAAATTAGCGGAATCTGTCTTATACAAATACAATGCTTCTACATTAACGTTCCCATTCTCTCGCTTAGTCAAATACTTTTTGAAGTATTTGGGAGTATAATTTGTTTCATCTTGTTCTTGAAGCATTGACGTAAAAAAGTTTGCTTGTGTCGTGTCATCGTTTCTTTTATAATGTTTTATTTCGTTTCGCGGCTGTTTGCTATGAAAGACTTGTTTATTTAATGGCCATCTCGTTTTTGAAAGATTTACACTGTCTCTCTTCAATTTGCTCGGCTTAGTATTCTTAACTTGTTCTCTTAAATTATACCTCATTTTCAATTTAGGAAGCCGCTTTTGCTTGAAGACCAACTCACTAAATGGGTTTGGACGCAATGTGAATTCATTTAGTGGCCTCTCGGTCTTCACTGAAACATTAAAATGAAGTTAGTGAATAATAAAATTATTCATTTGCAACTTTTTTATCGAATTTACTTAAGCGAAAAAATGTTGATCTTGAATGAGTGTTGAGTTGATTCAATTACAAAGGCATACATATAGAACTGCTATGCTTAATTTTTATTACAGACTATTTTAGTAGCTAAGCAAATGTATGAATGTGTGTTGCGCTGGGTATTTTTACCAAGTTCACGAGGCATTTGATGATGATTCTACCTGACGGTGAATAGTGATTATGATGAGGTGGAGTGGATGTTAGAAGTTTATTGACGATGGAAGAAAACAGTTTTAACCAGGAAGGATAAGGCAAAGCGTCAAGTACGAATTTTTGGTAACTTCACAATAAACAGCGTAGTACGTATTGCTATTTGTAATTGAATAAGATAATTGAATCAATGCTACTACAACTACTACACTACTACTACAAAACTTACCTGAATTATCTATGGAATTACGTCTTTCCAACAATTCGAACAAATCCTTGTCCTGGTCGACCAAAAAGATAGGTTGAACTTTTGAATCTATTTTCGAGATTGGATTAACACTTTTCCTATTATTTACAGACGTTTTGAAACATCCGTTCGGATAGCAGTATGTCGGTTGATTAGAACACATTTGTACACAAACACAGGCAGGTGGATTATTCTGGAACTCCGAAAAGATGGTATTGAAGAAGCTTTCTACCAGCAGTCCACCATTCTCACAGTTTGGTAAGTGATATTGTTGCGTATATTCATTTGGGATCACTGAAAAGCAATTCGGAAGTAGGTAAATAATCTTCTTTTCCGTCCTTATTTTATGCACTATACATTGTTGAAAAAATTTATCTATCTTTAACAACAGTTCTAGTATAAATAAGTAATTTATATCTCCTACACATTACTAAGACAAACACGTGTAAATAAATTTTCAGGCGTTAAAATTCTACTTACTGGTACTTCCCGCGACACTAATGATAAAAGTGACATAGTAAAGATTACAATTCTTGTACATTATATTTATTAGAATAGTAGTTACCTGAAGGAATCGTACGGTTACTGATGCAAGAAAACTCTTGAAGCGTTGTATGTTTCAAAACAAATTTGACACAATGGCTCATTTAAAACGTATAGGATGTTATAAAGTGACTTCCCTAAATATAAAGACACAATATTACAGCACAAATTTTAAATCATTAAATATCCCTAAGTATACTAAATTTTAAGATTGAAAGAACTTTTGGGCTAAATACGAGTAGATAAATCACGAGAATTCAAATCAAACACTTTTAATGGAATTAAAACGTGAAATGTATCAGTTACCTTATTTACAATGACTTGGCCGGCGTTACGGATGTTTTATATACATAAGTCGTGGTCATGTAATATATTTCGCGTTTTGAACGCTTAAATGTGTTTCTTTTATTAGGTACTAGTCACGATACCTACAGACAACACCTAATGACTAGAATGTTGGAAGAATTCGGTTGTATCGATTTGGGGATCATAGACTTCACTATCAAATATGACAGTATCTTGCAAACAAAAGGCCGATTTCCGTCCGCAATTTTATATAAAGCGAGTGTTATTTTAACTAACAAAAACCACCTGTTTTTGTATCCTTCTCGATGTTTCTTCAGCCTCTTAGGAAAATAAACGCCCGAAGCCCGTTCCACTAAAAGCCGCGTGTAAAGGCTAGTAGATAAATAATATAATCCGCCCTTTTACTCTTTACTGCCTACTTTATGGGTTTCCCGGCCATTACGCCTCACCAGCGCCAATATTTTGCGAAAATTAATACGCAGCTCTACACGAGGCGGAGACTTTCAATATTGACATTAGACAGTCTTTTTTGAAATATAAGTGAAATCCCGTTTCCCCTCGTGAGACATGGGGCGAAAACATTTCTGTGTCCGTTTCACTGATCGGTTTTATTTAAAGGCAATAGTTGATCAGACTTCTGTGCCCTGCCCGACCGAAACAATTTATTGTTTGCCCGGAATTCGAACCCAGGACCTCTCGCGCTTATCGCAATGCTAGGCAACACTAGTTTTTAAAATATGCTTACTCCTAAATCGATACTAATATTATAAAGTAAAGTAGAGTTTACGCGCTTATCTCAGGAACTACTGGTTCGAATTGAAATATTCTTACTAGTTAAAGTATTTATTGAGGAAGGCTTAACGCCACGCTGCAACCAATAGAAGGGTAAAACCAATGGAAAATGCCTAAAAACGGGGAAAATTATTTAACTTACCTTAAAACCTTTAAGACACCACAAAATATGTTTAAAAAAAATGATTCTTGAAATGTCAGCGACAGTATATATCTATTTTGTAGTTTAACTTGCAAGAACTGTGGGACGCGGACTGCTAACAGCTTGTATTCTCATAAGGTCCGTATGAATTAAAGCTTTACTCTTTGTGTAATGTAAAGTCATGATTTGATTGTTGTGAATAAAAATTCGCAACTTCTCACACCTGCACTTGTTAAAGGAGGAAAACATCATATGAAACCATTAAACTATGGTTAAGTAGCAAAATTGCAAGTCATTACACCTGCTCGAATGGCTGATAATAATTATTGATATTAAATAAAAATCCAACTAAGTACGAGTCGACTATGCGCTTCGTTTGCAAAGGATTTAATTCTATTATTATATATGTATATTATAAGCCAGAAAAATATTACGGCTATTTCATTGTAACGGTTTTTGCTATACCGTCTAGCAAAACAGCAATTTTCCCCTCGAATACAGAATCTACTGAATTGTGAAATTTATACAATTTTTTTTTATCTAAAATATAAAGCTATTTTTTTTGTATTTTTGAACGCGCTAATCCCAGGAACTGCTTGTAGGAATTGAAAAATTATTTTTTGTTCGTTAGAAAATTTATCGAGGACGACTATAGGTTATAAAACATCGCGTCGCGACTAATGGAGCGAAGAAGCAACGGGGGAAGGGGGAAAAAAACACGGGGAAAATTATTCATCTCTGTGGATTTCCGATGCGTACGCTGTGAAACTGGTTCATGTACCAACAAATATGAATGAAAGACTGATTCCTCCTTAAATGATCCAAATAACACGACACTAAATGTCTATTTTTTAAGATTACTTGCAAAAAAGAAGTGTCAGTGGACAATAGCTTAAATCCGTAAAGATAAAGAGATTTGCAAAAACACATTTTGATGCCAAAAAATAACTATACTACGCGGACGAAGTCGCTAACACAGCTAGCGTTATATACAAACGCAGAGCATTGATTCTATTGTACCTCTCGTACGGGCGACTCCCTCTAATTTTTCAATTGTCGCTAACGTAGAATAAGACAAGGTCGAAGTAATAAAAAATTGGCACAGTCATCATGACTATATCAGACCTACCATTTAAAATTTATAACGCCGGGAAGAGGTAATTGTTTCGGCCAGGTTAATTTAATTAAAAATAAATTATATAGGCAAAAAAGTACAACGACAAAAGAGCGAGGTATTAACTGAATAAAAAAAAAAGATAATTAAATCCTAAATATATATACCTAAATAACAGTTGGAGTTTATTTGTCATTTAATAAGAAATATTATGATTATGTCCTGTTTTTATTATATCATATTGAGTATAGATATAATGCTTGAATAGCATCACATTTTCTTTTTTCTACTCGGAAATAAATACTTACAATATTTCAGCAGATATAAACAAATTAGAAAAAGAAACAAATTTAATTAACAATGCTATAAGCTACTTTGTTATATTTTAAATGTCCTCTATTAGAAAACTGATTTTCTCTATGTAGTTGATAAGTGCAAAAAATACGCATTAGTTTAAAGTGATACTTTACATACTTAAGTATTGCAGCACTAATCAGTACTATAATTTATATACAACATTATTAGTCTGTGGAATTATTCACTTCATGCAAATTCTTAGGTAAATACAGACGTGCGATTTTGTAATCGTTGCTACAGGTTTGTAAATATATTGACGATTTATATATTTACTAGCTGTGTCAGCGGCTGCGTCCGCGAGAATCATTATTTTGGGCATCCAAATTCGTGGTTTGCAAACGAATTCATCTTTATAAGCTTAAACTTGGACTCTTTTTATATCATTTAAGGAAGATTAATTCTTTCGTACATACTTTTGGGTTTCTTGAACAGTTCGGAACCCATAATGATGAAAAAAAAATCCGTTTATTTTCAAATTAGGTACCCGTTCTTTCTTCGCTCCTATTAGTCACATCGCGATGTATTATAGCCTATAGCCTTCCTCGATAAATGCTCTACTCACCACAAATTTTTTTTCAATCCAAACCAGTAGTACCTGAGATTAGTGGGTTCAAACAAACAAACACACTCTACAGCTTTATATATTAGTATAGATATCAACTAATTACAACGATCATAAGGAAAAAAAATTTTTAAAAATAATTTTATTCAGATTTTGGATATTACTTTTTTTATATATTTCTTTAATCCGTAAGTAATTAGTTTTTGTTTCTGTAGATTCATGACATTTCTGAAACAACAAAAAGTTAATTCAAAAATTTCAACTTGCGATGTAAAAATCACAAACTTTAGTTTGTTTAATGCCTTATGAATCTTCATATTTGTTCAAGGTCTGATTTGAGAGCTAGGGCTGAGTTAATTCTGAGTTTATGTATACCAGTCGAGTGTCACTCTCGTGCTTTATGTGTACATAAATAATATATAGAGATATAATATTTACTATTTTGGAAAGTATATACATTTATAATAAAGGTAAGTAATAATTTAATTTGCCTCATAAAATATTTATTACTGTCTAAGCCTAAATTGATTTGGTCCATGAATCAAAGGGAATAGATTATAATTTCCTAATATCATATATATTAGTAATACACTAGGTGTCCATACTTATTATATCAGAATTATGTATATCTATTATAATATTTAGTGGGAATTTTAAAAAGATTATTAAATTAATTTCCCGATTATTTATCGCGTAAAGCATATAATTCCAGTTTAATTAACATGTATTTATATACTATTGCTAGGGTTTATTATTATTTTAAATAGAAAATGATGACAATAATGTTTTATATACCCAATTTCACTATGGTATTTTTAAATTATTATATATGTGCTTTTATTTTTTTGCTTTTTCGTGCCTGTTAACTGCCAGCTTAGTGTGTTTTTTTTTATTTTGTTATGATTAGAATTCACGTTGTTTGCTTATTTGGTGGGTTTATATTTATGTAAAAATAATCAACAAATTAATTAATTATTTGGAAAAAAATTTAGAAAAATATACTTGAAATATTTATAAGATATTGTCCGCAGTAGACCTTTATTTTTCATCCAAGAGTTAAAGATAAGATCAGTTACACATTTTGCTATTTCTCATTGAACTATTTATTTTCCTTGTATTTGACTATTATTTCCTTATGTTATTAGTTTTAGTTAAATCTCTATTAATTCTAAGAACTATCATAGACCAGAATTTGAATACTCTGTTATATTAAGAGACGAACTTTATTATTCGTTATCAACACAGTTTTATTTTTTTATTATATAAAGACAAATAAATAAAAAAACAAAAGACACCAGCCAGAACGACAAATATAATTAGTTGAACTTATTTTTTACCTAAATCTTTGTCAAAATCGAATGTTATATGTATGTATTCCTTAAAAAGCTCAATCCCGTGAGGCATGGAGCGAACACATTTTACTGTCCGTTTTACTATTCGGTTGTATTACAGGCAACTAGTTGATTAGACGACTGTGCCTAACCGAAACAATATAATGCTTCGCCGGGGTGCTAAGGTTCCTTAGCGCTTAACGCAATGCTAAGCAATACATATAGTTACAGAGATGGTCACGTCCTAACTATCAAAAATTATTCTAGATGCCATTCAAAAGAAACTGGGATGCGTCGTGTCCTCGTGTCTGGGAGAAGTGGGAAGCGAACGGACAAGAATGGGTGATTCAGGACCTAGATCCAAAAGATGACGATTTAGCTATCGAAATCTTGTTGAAACACCTTTGCACGGATGAAGTGTTGTGCTCTTTGAGTAGTAAGTATATATACATAGCTAACAGCTACTAAACACATCTAATGTTTTCTCCATGTGTGTGATGTTCATTTTTTTGTGAGGCAATTACATTGATCAGAGATCAGAGGCCCATGGCCTACACATCTCTGGTCAATGTAATTTACAGACAATCTAATTAAATTGCCTAAAGCGAAAAAAGTTAAAAATTACAATCTCTACAATACATATACTAGAGAGGGGTAATTACCGAGTTCAGATCCCGTGCAAGAACGTATTTCGATTGGGAGGTAAATGGACTGAAAGTGCTTCCGTTTCACTAAGCATATGACTTTTTATATTCCTATAATATCTATATGTTTAATAGTAGTAGTGTACATCTAAGTAAATCATTTCTAACGGTTAAAAACGTGAAATATATTACTTAGCACATTTACAATTTATTTTAATTACGGCCCAATACGTCGGGTCGTAGTTAAAATGAATTGTAAATAAGTGAACTAATCTATTTAGCACTCTAAATCGTTAAAATTGTTTTATTAAAATGTGTACTACTCGCGAAAACTGCAGACAATACTTAACAAGTATAGGACAGTAAGTTGAATGATAATCCAATTATGAACATGGCTTTCTTGGTGTAAAATCATTTGTTATTTGACCTATCTGTAATTAAGATTATAGGATTTCACACTTAATCCCATTTAGAGTTGGAGGAAGACGAAGAAAGTTTAATTGGCATGAAGAAGTTCTGGATCCCGTGTCTTAAACAGCGAATGAGCCTCGCTCTCTACACTTGGATAGACGGACAGAAAACTCTTGTAGCCCTCAATGTATGTGTCGTCATGACAGCTGGAGACACATTCCCTGATGTTGAGGTATAATAGATATAATAATATCATAATAAAAAGCTAGAAGCTATAACAAAAATGTGTTAAATGATATCCAAATACTGTCTGTAGTTTGAAAATTATTTTGACTACTGCAGCAGCCATGGTCACGGGGAGACTAAAGATAAAAGTTGTCTTTGACGTCAAAGTAAAAGAAACTACTACGCAAGCGCCATCTGTTCCGTCGAAGTTGGTATTTGGGAAAACTGGCCGGGTTATTGTAGTATTACGGTCCGATATTTTGGGCCATAATTAAAATCATTTTCAAACAAGTTTCACTAATATATAGCGCGGATTCAACCATATTAATCCTTTTAATTATATATTTATTTTTATAACTACATGAGAAAAACAAAAACACATTCATACGTATGTACACATCTTCCGTACAATTTCTCTAATAAACTAATCTTTAGAAAATACAAAAGATACATTTATTCTAATGGTTAATTTTTAATATTTAATTTCAGTCAACAAAAGGATTTTTAGGAATAAATACTCAAGAGGTACAAATAAAATTACGCTACCTTATAGCATGTTTGAATTAAACGTATTTCCATAATCTGTATTTTCTCCGTACATTTCCATAAATCAAGTAGATACGTAGATTATAATATTCTCAAACATCTTGTATCTGTTTCTTATTTCTTATCATTCGACCGATAGTAATTTTATTGATAGTATAATAACAGTTAGCCTCTTGAAAGTCATGTTTGTTTGAATCAAACTAGTAAGATTAAATATTATAATTGTTTATGTTAATTTAATTAAAAATAGATGGACTTGAATGTACCCAGGGCCATTGACATTTTCCAGCAAAATATTGACAAAGACAAGAAATAAATTACTGTACTTGCATAAAGATACCTACAGCAATGCACGTGTATCATTATTTTCTGCTTCTAGAATTATTACGTAGTTTAAATTTAAAATCGATTTTTAGATGAAAAAAAATACAATACAAACAGGATCTAGAACGTTCGGTTCTGGTGCTCTAACCAATTCAGCTACCGTGACGTCATCGTCAAATTTTTCAACTTACTGATACATGCAACTCTCGCGCATTTTTAATGCTATCTTCTTTTCATCAGATAGAAGGCGAAAAGTGGAAAAACGTATTTAGTGCACTTGAATACGTCGAAATAAAGCGAGACCCACACAAATATCTGGAATTGAACACGTTGTTGCACGCGTTTGGACTGGTTGTGAAGAAGGAGTATAGAGGGCAGAGGCTGGGTGCAAAGTTATTGGCAGCAAGGTAAGGAAGATATGATTATATTTATGTAAAGATTTACCCAGAATAAACTAGCTCTACCCGCAATTTCGTCCACAGGGAATAGTTATTTGGAACATCTACATTATTTTTTGTAAACCGCCTCCTAAGATTTATAATTTATAGAGCTGTTACCCACGACATCGTCCGCGTCCCGTCGTTCTTGCAAGTTTATCTTGAAAGATAGACGGGACGCGGACGATGTCGATACGAGTATATTGTCAAGAACATATTTTTAGCTAATTTAAAGGAAATCATTCTACACATTATTAGGTTTCTCGAACCGTCTTTGTAGCGTACACGTCGGAAACCCTCAAAGATGAATAATGTTTCCCATTTTTTCCAATTTTTTTACTGTTTCGTCGCTCCTAATAGTCGCAACGTGATATTATGTAGCCTATTGCCATCCCTGATTACTGCTCTATAAAAAAAAAACAATTTTTACCAGTAGTTCCTGAGGTTAGCGCTTGCAAACAAACAAACTTTTCAGCTTTATAATATTAGTATAGATTTGATTCGATTTTAAGGCATTATAGTGTTCATCATCATGTGTTATATCATCATATGCTTTATTCCAGGCAGTTTATCAATTCCGATTATATTTGCTTCACAGCCTTCACCTATATTCATGTCGAAACGAATGTAATTATGTACAGAATTGTTTATTTTTATCATATTCTCAACGGATGCCAAGTGCTCTAAATGATTAAAGCGACCTTGATCAGACCTGTACCGATGCGGAGTTGACCTTATTACTTTTTTAATTGCAGTCAGTTGAATTAATAAAAAAAGACTGAGTTATTAAATCAATGGTCACTAACGCCATTATTGTTAAGTGAATTCATTATAACCACTGAAATATTATATCTAAGAATAATAGTGATAACTATTTTTTTTGTTACCACTATTATTCTTAACTTAACTTAACTAACTATAATAAGCAAAAACTTAGATACCATATAATTAAAGAATTTTATGATAGAATAATTATTTTTCTATTTGTAGCAATACCTATGATATGAACCAAAGATTAAAATGAGAATTCTCTTAGTGTTGAAGTTAATAATAATTTTTTTTTTTTGGTGTAATACCCTTAGCCATATAATATTTTGGGTTTGGATATTCAGAAATACACAGACTGAAACCGCAACGCGATCAAACTTGATACTATTTTTATCTGTGGACGGTGGTTCGTGACCCTAACGAAATTTTGATATCAGCAAAGTCCAAAATATTTCAGAAAAATTACAAAAATATTGAAACAATGTTAGCCATACTGCTACCAATGAGACCATCTTTGTGTTTATATAATTCACTTTATTTTTTTTAAATAAACTTCCTTTTTCTTCTATACCAACTTCGATGCACATCTAAGCATGTCGTTTATACCTTTCAGAGCAGTAGCTTAGCAAAATAACCTTTCATTTAATTTATTTCTATCACAGAGAACCACTATGCAGATTACATGGTATAAAAGGCACTACAACGGTATTCACTGGGCCTGCGTCTCAAAAGCTCGCTGCCAGTTGTGGATTTACAAGCATATGCGAGGCATCGTGGAAGGATCTTGCCGATTCTGGACTTGACTATCCGTCCGAAACCAATAAGTTCATAAAACTCATGGTTAAACGTTATGAGTAAGGTTTACTTTTTAATTAGAAAAATGTAGCCACAAATGTGTATAGGAAAATATTTCGTAAAATGTTATGTTTTAAATAATTACACAGTAATACGAATTAATGAACCTTCAAACAGTAAAACGCACTAAAGACGATTTCACAGGGACTAAGTTACTAAAAAACGCGTCGCGAGAAATCGTTCTATGGTGTATAATACGGTGTATTATATATTAAGCTCTAATTGTAGTTTGCAATGGTGGTATATGCAGCTATAAAACACATATATATATTTAAAATAATTATTTATTACAGAATGATTTGACTCGATTTTTTGTATCTCTTTCATCGTATATTATGTGCTACGTGTGGTAAGTTTTAAAGCGCGTGCTTGACAAAACCATTCTAACATTTATCGAAGTTTCCTATCTTTCTCCGCACACCTCTCATTTTGTTTGTGGTCTCATTTTTGTATTACTTATTTATTGATTAAAATGGTATGGTAATCGTAGAAACTGCTAAGTAAAGGTCAACAATTAACTGAGTTTGAATTGTTGTTTGTGATTTTATATCGAAAACTTTCAATATCTACAGCTTTCCTCGGCTAGGTTCGGGCATATTAAACGTGATGAGGTAGTGTATAAAGCGTTAAGAATATATAAAAATATGTCTCAAGTTGCAGACACTAGCGTAGTAAAATTTTATTAAGCGTGATTGGCTTAAACGGGTTCCACTATATATATTTTATTTCATACATAACGCAACTGTAGTAATATTGTATTGTAGTAAAAATGTACAAACATTAAAACAAATTTGGCCTTTGGTGCATTTAGTTAGTTTAAGGTTGTCAAGATCAAAGTCAAGAGAAGCGGGTTTGTAATAGATTTGTGTCGAGGTTAACAACACAAGATACCCAAATAAACGGAGAATGATTTTATTAGTAGCTTGTAGATAAAACTAGTGATATTTAAATATTACTACTGTCTCTATCCAATGTAACTATTGGAATCTTTGATACTATCATATAATACTTAAATAAAAAAGGATTGTATTATAATAACTATTTTTTAATAAAACCCAATAAGCAAGTTGTATTTTTATTTGACTAATACAAAGCACCTTTATGGCAAACAATACTTTGTAAACAAACCTTAGGTGTAACCTTAAATAAGAATGACACAATAATATAATAAATATAAGCGATGTATTTTATTGTTAAAAATAGAATAGTTAATACGTGTGGGATTATTACAGTATTAAGTACTCATTATCTATAGTTTGCGGAAATACAATTTTAACAATTTAAAACATGAAATATAATTAACTTATTGTTTTAAGTATCAACTAATATATGTAACGTAAGCCTTTAAAAGTGTTTTATTAAAAACACGATATAAATTATCAATAAGAATACATTTGTTTCTATGCGTATATAAACAATTTTAATCGCTTCTTTGCCTTCTTTGTAGAAATATTATAGTATCCAATCGATTTGAACATTCACGATATAAAGATAACGACCTGAAGTATGTTTCGATTAAAAATTACAATCTTACGTCGATACAAAATCTTCCGCAGATAATAGTAGAAACGTCACTTCGGAATTGTTATGTATTGAGATACTTATCAGCCCAGTTTTATTTCAGTTGCTCATGTAGGCCAGTGTTAATATCGTCATTGATGTTTTAAATTTTCTGAAAAAACTGAAGTGTAAGTATCATCATTATAGCGTCATTACCATAACGATTTAGAATATTTAAATAAATCGTTACGTTTTAAATAACACACTTTTATGGTTTAAAACGTGAAGTTAAACTTTACAAATTATTTTTAATACGGCCCGACGTTTCGAATGCTTTACCACCGTGGCTATGGTGCGCCTGATACATTTCATTTTTTAAATCGTTAATATTGTATTCTTATGTGTATTATCACGTAAGGTACAGAGAGTACTTAGTTATCGTTTGAATTAGATATATACATAATTTATTCTCAATAAAGTAATATTTGAAAGCGTATATCTTATTTTTCCTCATCAAATGTAGGAAAATGTCTATAAAGCTAACGATTTGTCTGTTCCCTTAACGAATAAAATAATTGTTTCTTAATATTTTTGTATATAATTTGTATGTAGAGCTTATTGGATGACATTATTACTACTCTTACTGCTTCGCAACTCCTAAATCATAAATATTTACGATCGATTAATTTGAACATAGTTTAAAAATCGAAAATAAATTGAAAAAATTTTTCGACTCGGGCAGGACTTGAACCGGCATCGTCAGCTTTCCGTGCTGTTGCTCTACCAATTGAGCTACCGAGTCCTACACCTCATCGTCGAATTTTTTCAACTTATTGATACATGCACCTCTCGCGCAATGTAATTTCTACCTTAACACTTGCGTATTAAGCTCAATGTCTTATCTTTGCAGCTTAAGAAATCATTGAAGATGAAATTACAAAGTTATAACGTTTGAAAACATTAATATTTTTCACATGTTATTGCACATGAAGGCACTATATAATTTAAAAATCGAAAATAAATTGAAAAAAATTTTTCGACTCGGGCAGGACTTGAACCGGCATCGTCAGCTTTCCGTGCTGTTGCTCTACCAATTGAGCTCCGAGTCCTACACCTCATCGTCGAATTTTTTCAATCTTATTTTCGATTTTTAAATTATATAGTGCCTTCATTGCGATAACATGGGAAAAGATTTGAAAAATATTAATGTTTTCAAACGTTGAACATAGTTTTAAAATCTTATCCACAAAAAAACATTACCAAACTGTAATATGTATAAATAAAATGAGCATTTAAGTTTGCTATATCAGTCTTTTTATTTCATGTTCTTTAACTGTGGCCATTTGAAGTAAAACAGTAAAGCAAATATTTAAGCCGTTATAGTCTTTATATAAGCGCAACACTAAAGATAAACAGACAGTTATTTAGAACGGGTAGAGATAATTTTAACAGATAAAGAGGTTGAAAGTAAATAATTCCTATTATTAAATATATTTCAGATGACATTTGAAAGGAATTGGGATGAGTCTTGTCCCCGTGTATGGGAGAGGTGGGTGGCCAAAGGTCAGGATTGGGTAGTGCAAGATTTGGACCCAAACGATGACGAAGCGGCTTTGGATATTTTTTTAGAGCATTTTTGTTCTGATGAGCTCCTCTGCTCCTTGAATAGTGAGTATATCAAAAGACGATCATCAATACACGCTTTACGTTCTATACAAAGGGTAGGTATTTGGACCCAGGTTAAGATGGCGTTCTTGACTCACGTACACTGTTTATTTGCGTTTTTTCAATGATAGAGAACAGACAAACATATGGTTCTATAGGTTCAAAGAAGATGCGCTATCGACTTATTTTGGCTTTGGACATTCGGAAATCCTTCTCATCTGTGGACGGTGGTTCGTGACCCGGACGGAATTTCGATATTCTTACCACCCATTTGATATCCAGATATCCAGACGAGATCCAACGTGTTTCAGAATAATTATAAATAAATTAGAAAAAATCCAACCCACAAACTGTTGGTTATAAGCCCCACATTGCTACAAAACCAAGCAGCCTGTCAAAGGCGTTAGGTAAAATGGCAAATATAAAATCAATAAAACGGACTAAAATAATGAAGTAAAGCGTACGTGGTCCCGCAACTAAATTTAAGTTGGCAATTATCCTTACAAACTTACCGAATTCCGGAATATTATAATTAAAGGGAACGGTGTAGTTTTCATTAATAAAGGTCGATAGACATACAGTTTACAATTAGACAGCACTAAAATAATTATTTAGGTTTAGGCTTTCTATCGTATCTCACATTATTATTTTTATGATTCTAACTGTATTTTATTCCAAATAGTGTTCTAAACATCTATGCCCCATCGATTTTTATGTAGAAATTAACAAAAGGTTTCCTTAGGTAATGTGAGGTAAATGCTTCATTAATTAGATGTGACTAAGCTAGACAGAGAAGGTAATTTCACCCTCCATCAAGTATGCTCCCCTCCAATGTTGGTCTTTAAAATAAACAGTGTCAATTTTCTGTCTACCTAACTATTAGCTTGAAAATAAATACTTTTCACATGTTGGAACATGATGGCATATTTTAAATATATTTTTTTCCGTAGTGTTTAAACAGCTAAGAACGACGGGGTCTACCCTTCCTTGGTCAGAAGGGACCATAATTACTTATTCATCATTTATATAATTATGCTTAACTTAACTTATTATTATGCTATTAGTTTAAGTTACGTAATCATTTACATTATATCTATTATTACTGCTCTTATTTTCAATGAGAAGCCGGTCTAATATTTTACGGCAGGACTTAAAAAAATGGTTTGTAATTTTTTATCACTAATAAACAATTTAAAATTTTCCGGGGTTACTAATGTATTTGTCGCTGTTCCAACGTCCATCCTCGAACGCGTGCTCACAGGGCATTCAGTCAAGCAGTTATCACGCTTTGCGGCGTTGATCCGTCACAGGAACACGTCGAGTCTTCCTTGCGTTAAAATTATGTATTATATAATTTAGAAATCCATTTATAGTGAGTGTATTTTTCTTACTTGGCAATTTTAGTAAACAAGCACACAATTTACATGAAATTGTGATTTTCTCACAAGGTTTAAATTGATTCACACTAAAAACATTTTAAAAGACTGGATTATATATTAAAGTAATGAACCATCACAAATTCACGTAAAACCACAATTTCATTCTTAAATTAATAAAAATCCTAAAATTTTATTTACAAAAATGCACAGATTAATATTTCTTTAGTTTGACATTTACTTAAGAATTGGATGTAAGCAAATTCAACGACAATAAAAGGTAGAAGCCACTCATGCACGATCGCTGAAAATCGTTACAAATGTTAGTAGTTGAATAACAATGACATAATTTTTTTAAATATAAGTTGTCGTAAAAGTGATTTTGCATATTGAGATCCTTTAGTCCATATATAATAAATATATTTTTAACCCTGTATCATCTGTGGCATAGACTACACTCTATAAAAAGGCACCACTAGTTCGCTATGGTTTAAAAACAGCTATATTTGTTGTGATCTTTTGCCAAGTTAGAAAAATACACTATAGATTGAGTTACCGTGACTCATTTGGTTGGAGTAAAAGCACGCAACGCTGTGAATGCCGAAAAAAAAATATATTTATAGAATTTAAATAGATTTTAACTACTTTTATAGTTTGTTTGTTTATTTATATAAAAGACCCTTTCACGAATGCCTTTGTATGAATAACGCTTATCAATATGATATTCATAATAACCACAGTAAACAATTTTCTTTTCCAGAATTAAATGAAGACGAAGTAAGCCGAAATAGTATTCGGAACTTCTGGGGTTTATGCCTAATGCAACGAATGAGTCTAGCGGTCTACACCTGGGTCGACGGAAAGAAGACTTTAGTGGCTCTAAATGTATGCGTGGTGAGATCTACTGGAGATAAAGCGGATATTAAGGTCAGAATAGATTTAAACAAGAATTTTCTTTACTTCTTTTGATTACATTTACTTATAGAAGCTTTGGTGATTACCAATAACTAAAAATAGGTGCAAAGTAGACACATATTATCCACTTTTTTTATGAAAGAGGAGGAGCCTATAGCATTTAAACAAGATGCGATGTCGATGTATTTTGGCTTTGGATATTCGGAAATCCAAAGACTGAAACCGAAACGCGATTAAGCTTCACGGCATTTTTCATCTGTGTACGGTGGTTCGTGACTTTCTGTATTCCTACCGCCCATTTCAAGATTTTCAGATGAAGCCCAACAAGTTAAAAAATTAGAAATATGTTGGAGCCGTTTGGGATCGAACCCACGACCCATTCATTATTCGCCTAACTTCGTGACGCAGCTACCACTGTAACTAATTCTGGATTTCCTTTAATCATTAGATATTTATATTCATTATATTACATTAAATTCCGTAAAATAATGTTTACAAATGAGGCCGCTAGAGGCAGAGTGGCCTAATGCAATTTTATGACTTGAGTTATTCTCCCAATAATTTAATAGTTTAAAATGTTAATCTAAACCATAGTGACCGAAAATTGTTAACAAAAAACTTACTCAAATAATAGTAAAAATTAATTTTCACCTAATAATGAACGTGTTTATCCTCCTTAGTAAGGGTTTTCTTATTATGCCACTTTGCCTCTAGCGGCCTCATATAATAAAACTATGAAATAGTAAAGTAAACTTAAGATGTAGAAAAATTAAGTCATATTTTTCTTCTTAAATGTAATGAGCTGTACCTCTGATTTAGTGCTAAAATAGATATTTAAAGCATACAAAAGCAAGATTAAATTTACAGCCTCCCTTTACGTCATCGCTATACGAAAACAAAAGACGAATAGGTACCTATAGGTATAACATCTTCATCACCCGTCTGTAGTTTACGCGAGTAGTACACAGATTTAAATAAATCACTTTAACTGTTTAAAACGCGATATATTTTTTAGTTAGATCAACTTATTTGAAAATTATTTTAACTCCGGCACAACGTATTTTATTTAAATCTTCTTCTCCTTAAATCTTAAATATATCTTATTTGTTTCAGATAGAAGGAAAAAAATTGGAAATTTTTTTCAAGTCAATGAAGTATGTGCAACATAAGTGTGACGCACACGAGTACCTTGGGTTAGAAACGGTTTTACACGCTTACGGACTGGTAGTTAAGAGGGAATATAGAGGTCAAAGACTTGGTGAAAAATTACTAAATGCGAGGTACATATAAGTAAACAAGGATAAATAAATATTTATGTAAGCGCTTTGGCGTCATGTTTGACGTTATGCGCTATTACGCACTGTCGACTGGTCGCGACTAGTTACTATGGTTGAAATGGATGCTTACGCACTTGATCGTCAGCCGCCCAGCAACTCTTCGACTCACCGCATATTGGCGACGCACACTTTGGTTGCCGAGAGACTGAGCCGCTGGCGACTGGTTGATGGTGCGTAATGGCTTTCTTTATGCAGTTTTCGTCTTGGTCCTATGTAAGCCGCATTTCCCATTAGCCCGAGTCATATTTATGACGATTTACAATGTAATTATGTGTATTCGACCTATTGTTTTCGTTCTTAAATAATTCTTGATCAGCACTCAAATCCTTCAGCTCTTAATAAACTAAATATAATATTCTCCAGTTTGGTAAATTAAGAAACAAAAGTAATTTAACATAATTTACTGCCTGTGTATTTTTGTACTTTTATAATCTTTCACAATGCAATGTATCTTGTACGATTACAAAATTATCTATACTTCTAAAAAGCCTAGTCTCTTCTAAAAACAGTGCAATATTAAAACAGTGACAGCAAAATACTACAACCTAAACACACAGTATTGCACTAGTGTTTTAAATATTTTGTTTGCGACTAACGGTCGAAGTTTTACTATGTCGAGTTAACACGTGGCTAATTTGTTTGTTATCTCTGCTAAAAGCATTTATTTTTAACTATTTGTCGTCGTACATACTATAACATTATTTATCAAAGGTTTTGCTTATCTTTGATAAAGATTAAGTAATGTTTTTCCCCAGAGAGCCACTATCCAAGTTACACGGAATAAAAGGCACGGCGACGGTATTCAACGGGCCTGTGTCCCAAAAGTTGGCAAGCAATTGTGGTTTTGAGACCATATGCGAAGTTTCATTAAAGGAACTGTCTGATTCTGGGCAAGACTATCCACCTGACCCTGATACATACCTCAAACTCATGGTGAAGCGCTATGACTAAGCTATTTTGTATTTAATGGTATAAATAAATAATTATTTACGTACCTTATAATCTTTCTAATTTATATCTCGCCTCTAAGACGCCACTTGCATAAAGTTCGTAGATAAATATATATTTATTCCACCAATATTTAACAGGCTCGTTAGTCAATTTACAGCAATGTAGGTATGGTTAGTAATAATCATGTCATGGTCGTGGGTTGTTGACCCTAACTTCGTTTAGAAATCTGGATTAAAAATAGGTGATGTGAACCAACGTCCACAGATGAAAAATCTGTGATGTGTAATTGCGTTTATTTGCTTTTTAGTCTTTGTATTTTAGAAAATCTAAAGCCAAAAACGATCGATAGCGTGTCTTGTTATCTATACTAATATATAGAGCTGAAGATTTTATTTGTTTGTTTGGAAGCGCTAGAAGTACGAATTCGAATTGAAAAATTATTTGTGTTGGTTAGAGCATTTACTGAGAAAGGCTATAGCCTATAAAACATCGCACTGTAACTAATAGATGCCAAGATACAGCGGGGACTGTGAACAAAACGGGAGAGATTTTTTATCTCCGTATTTCAGATTCGTACGCTGCTAAAACGGTTCAAGATACCCAAAACATGTGTATGAAAGAATCATTCCTCTTTAAATAATCTAAAAAAATTTCTGAGACACTTTATGTCTATCTTCTAGAATTAACTTACAAGAACGACGGGTCGCGATCGACGAGACGCGACCAATGTCGTGGGCAGCTTAAATTTATAAAGATGTAGATGTAGACTTTGATAGACCATTCTACGCGGACGAAGTCGCTAACACAGCTAGTCTTAAATAACTGGTGTGTTTTTCCTTCCATCAAGTGAGCCCCAAGCTGCTCTGTCGTACTGTCATGAAAAAATATTTCATAGTTTCTTAATGTGTTTAATATACAAGTCAGAATTAGTTATAGGTAATATAGTAGAGGTTTTAACAATAAAACACGCTCATTTGTAAAATATTTCTTTCGATCTAACTCAGTCTAAATTCTGGAAGACAGTGTTCTTTGGGGTCTGGTGGGTTCTCTTCTGTCAAGAAAGAGCTAAGAAGAACCGGGGCGCAGACTGGTATCCGTCGCGATACCAACCACTTTGAATCTCGTTCAGATAGCGGATAACGTTTTATATCCGCAAAGCACACTGTTATATTTTCTTCAGTATATGGTGGTCTGGAATATGTAAGTATATAACTCTTTAAACACATACTTAATATCTGTTATATCCCCAAATAAATAATAAATAATGTTAAAACAATATTTTGTTAGGAATCGAAAAATTTTCAAAATAAAAAAGAATTAAAAATGGAATTGACATCTTGTTTTATCTCGCTCTCTATCAATACTTTATCAACATCGACATTCATTTGTTCATCAATTAATTAAGTAAAATATATAACAAACTCTGACACCTAACTAAAAATGCTGATAAAATATAATATTCATGAAATTCGACGAACATTATATGACGTTTTAAAACATGCCATAATAACAAAACATTAAATCGTAACATGTTTTTCAACAGAGGACCCATATGAAAAAGGACACAAAGATAAATATTTTACTTACACTTAAACTTTACAAAAAATTAAATAAGCTCGTAGAATTAACTCACTCTGCATCCGGTGCTACGCCCCCTCCAGCCTCCAACAATCTAGCTAAGAGTCTCCTCCTCGCCGCCGGCACGTGAAGTAGACCCACAATCCCATGAAATGGTCCTGGGGAACCCCTGCTGAGTGCACTGCGCCACCGATACGCTGCACGAGCTAAATTTTGTTCCGCACCACTTAGTGTTGGCAAGCACTGCGCTAGAGGGTTTCCCCATTCAAAATCCTCTTCCTGTTTACAACAAATACATTTTTTGAAGTGAAAACCTCTGTTGTAAAGTGTAAAAAATGTAAAAATCCCGTCAGGGCCTTGCGTTGTCGCAAATTAAGATAGATAGAGTAAACAATATAAATTGGCAATAAATTAATATTGTATTTTACCACCTACAATGATAGTACTTTAATGGTACTAAGTATATAAATATAGTACTAATTATAGCAAATTGTGGTAATTCAAGTGTTGCCTTCTGTAGGCAATTATCCGTATTTTTTAATACTCTTAAGACAGATTATTGGGTTGATAAAATACTTATAAATACATAACACAGAGATAAACAATTAATTTTTAATTATTATTCTTCTCATTTAAATATTTTATTAAGATAATATACTTAGGTAAGGTTTTATTATTATTTAAAATTATCCCAAAAACAAGTAATTTTTAATAGAACAATCGGGCGCAATGGGGGAGAGATGAGTATAGAAATGCTACCTGCGATCTATAAATATTTAAACAATCTATTCAAACAGTTTATACAGTTTGCGTTTAAAGCCGTAAAAAGTGATTTCTGTGAATGTGTACTACTCACGTATACACGATAACAATTAGACTTATTTAACCAGTGCGAAAGGTTACGCATAGTATAAAATAGTACTATGTAATTTTATTTTACATCTTATGCTCTTCTTACCGAAAGGAACTTGCCAGCTGCCCTGCTTCGCGCCACATACGCGGGATGCAACACCCACTTGCCACCGGCCACAGAGCATAGCATTTTCTCGCTTCGGCCAGGCAACGAACAAAGGAGGTGAGTGGCGCGCGGATCCAGTTCGGCGCCCTCGCAGATTTCCCCTCCCAAATGAACTATCATCTCTGTTATCTCTTCGCGGTTCTTGAAAACATAATGTTCACTTAGTATTTGTACGTTTAAGATATAAAAGAGATTGTTCAAACGTAGAGGTAATTACTTAACTATTTTTGCCATACTTAATATCCTTGAAATAAAACATCGGTTTAAAACGCGATATATTAAATACTGTCTATAGTTTACGCGAGTAGTAGACATTTAAATAAAACACTTTAACGGTTTAAAATGCGATATATTAGTTAAACTTATTTGAAAATGATTTTTAAATTCGGCCCGACGTTTCTCCCCGTGACCAAATCATTTTTAAATAAGTTTAACTAATACATTGCGTTTTAAACCGTTAAAGTGTTTTATTTAAATGTGTACTACTCGCGTAAACTATAGACAGTATTTAAAAACCATAATAATCTACTATAGCAACAATACCAAAAGGGAACTTACGTCGACATTCGAAGAAAGCATGAAACGTTTAATTTCAGGTGTTGGCTTCGCCGCCGGCTGTGGTGTTGTGTCATCCCAACCGACTGTATTTGGTTGGGACTCGGGTCCAGCTTCTATTTCTGCAGCTTTAAGAATTAAAAATAAATATCATTAAAGTTTGGTTCAGTAAGTCTGAAGGCCGAAGGGAAAAACGGAGTTAGTATTTATCGTTTGAAAGTAATCATTTGAGCATGTATGTGAAACCATAGCAGCAGAAGCTTGAGGAATTGAAAGTTTACTTTTTAGCGAAAAACTTCCCAAAATTTCCCCCCAAATAAAAAATATTTTAACCTAAAGAGTCTGCTTGTTTGTTGGACGCTTACTCAGAACTACTGGTCCAAATTGAAAAAGTGTTGGGGTTAGAGCATTTATCAAGGAATCCTATAAAACATAAAATTTCGACCAATAGGAGCGAAGAAACAGTAGGAAAAGTGGGAAAAATTCTTTGAGGGTTTCCGTTTGCATGTAATGCGAAAACTGGTCACGCTACCCCAAACCTAAGTATGGAAGAATAACACGACAGTATAATATGTCTATAAGATTAACTTGCAAATACGACGGGACGCGACCAACGTCCTAGGCAAAAGCTATAATTTAGAAGGATGAGAGGTTTTTCAAAAACTAATTTAATGCCCAAAATAACTTTTCTACGCGAACGAAGTCGCTGGCATAGCTAGTATTACATAAGTTCAGTTACCTGGAGGTGCAGCAAGGCTCACGGAATCCCTTGACCTTTTAGATCGTTGCGAGCTTAGACGATTACTAAGCGCTGCACTCAATCGCTGCAGCTGAGCATCCACTGCTGCCGGAATACTTTTTTTACTGCTACCGCTGCCGTTGGAATCCGAAGTGACATTGGCGGAACCAGCACTCTGATTCAAATAAAAGATTTTGATACGATAATAAAATACTTAATACCCTCAAAAAACGCTTTTACCAAACCTTTGATCATTTTTTACAAAAAAGATTTTTGCCGCTTCCTTTAAGACTCATAACTTCTTTACTATCTCCAAATAAGAACGACAATAAATATCTAAAAATCATTTAAATAAAATACTTTTAAGGGTTTAAAATTCTATATATTATGTTAGTTACACTTATTTGTAGATTATTTTAACTACAGCGCGATGTTTCGGATGCTTTGCAGCAGCCGCGGTCACGGGGAGACTAAACATTAGAGACACACTAATGTCAAAATAAAGACTCCTACGCCAGCGCCATCTGTTAAATTGTAGTTAAAATAATCTCCAAATAAGTTTAACTAACACATATCGCGTTTTAGACTGTTAAAATGTTTTATTTAAATAATGTTTAGATAGATCGCGTAAACTACAGTCGGTATTTAATCTAAAAACCAATGTACCTGATGAAGTGCGATCTTGGCCATTTTTGGCGGCGGTGTCTCTACTTCATCCTGAAATTATAACACAACATAAGTTATCAAATACAACATACATTTGAATAGACAAGATTATTTGTATTATGGTGGTGAACAGATAACCGCGAGTTGCAGGTAAAAGACCATAATAAATCTAATAAAAAAATGTCATACTTGCAAATGTAACTTCCTAGGTACTGTAGCAGTATGATCCGATGGTGGCGTTGAAGTATTTCCGTTAAACTGCGCCAGGAAACGGTTGCGTATTTCTGATAGTGGCTGAAAATGTTAAAAAAATAATGGATATATAAATTTTTTTATATAATTAAATGTTATGCAACATATTAAATCTTAAAATAAACTTACAGTTTGCTGTCGGTCTGTAGTTTGTACATCTTGTTTGGATGGCAAATCGTTAACTATCTTCCAGAGGCGTTTTCTATTCTCAGGAGAAAGCCGACCAGATCCAGGTCTTAGTGCGGCACCAAACCCACTGTCAGGTGTTGCTATATTCCTCGCAACTGTGTTGTAAGAAAATAATTTCCTTTTAAAAAAGCTACACAAAATAAAGTCACAACGAAAAGAAATTTATTGGTATTTTATTTAATGATAGAGAAGGACAAACAAGCACAGTATTCACTTCATAAGGGATAAAATACCCCAACCATATAAAATCTACACAAGATGATAGCGCAACCTCTCTTGGCGTTAGATATTCCTACTACATAATAGTAACATGAGCCTGTCACATACACATATGAATTTTAAAAGCCTAGTATTATTTATAGTTTAGCTATAAAAGAGAGATACAATAATATAATATACATATTTGTGTAAACACAGACCTAGTCACAATATCAAACTTACAAGGATCCGCCGGGGTCTTAACTGGGTCCGAAGGCATCTCACCGCGTCTCACGGCCTGAAGACGACGTCGTGTCGTGGGGCTTAGGTTCGCGAGGTTTGGAGTTGACAAAGCGTCGTCTAAGGGTGGCGTTCGTACTGCACATTCTAGAAAATAGTGAATGAGTTAGGTGATCTGTACTGAAGATTAAGCTGATTTGGGCCAACTTGACGCAAAGAACATGATTGGAATATAAATATGTTTTCAATTAATCGTATTGAATATTTAAGTATTTTTTATTGAACCTGAATACTTCTTAATGTTACTTATGTGTAAATTATATTGTGTAAAAAAAATAAATGTCGAAACGATAACTTCAAAATTATTCGAATGTGTTTAGAATTGTATCTTATTTTTAATAAAATAAAGAGGAGGGGATGACATTTTCAGTAAGATAAAAATGTCCAACAATTCTACGCAACCATATAAAAACTATCAGATACCTTTTTCATCTTGATCCTGCAATTCTTGTCGTTTTGGTGTCTCTTGAGAGTCACAGCCAAGTAGACCTTGGCGAGCCATCGCGATATACCGAGATGCGGGGGACATGTCCTCACCATCTTAAAAGTTATATGAAAATTATTGCATATGACTGAATAAAGCACGCAAGTTACATTCTGGCGACAAAGCCCACTCTTTATGAAACACTAGGCCAAAAATTGATAGCTAAAAATCATTATTTCCAAAATTAAATTAAACTAAATTATTATCCTTACGTATTGTCTGTTAATGAAAATCTTATGCTACCTATTTATCTTGTTTTAATAATAATTTACTTTTTACTTTAAAGTTGTGTTAATCTATTTTAACAGATTTGCAGCAGCCTCAGTCACGGTTTAAACACGTGTTTTATTTAAATATAAATATTATTTCGCAAGATTAGTACACAATTTTCAAAACTATGATAAGCATTCTCTTTATCTATTGGTGTGAATGCACCCACGTTTGCATCGAAGAATACCAGCATACCATTTGGTTTAGTTTTGGGAGTCTCATCTCTTTGTGTAGAACCTCTTCTGGGGACAACACTATCAGCTGGGGGTAACATCTCATTCTCTTTGTCCCTTTCCCCCTGCATTACTTCTTGTACATCAATCTCACTTTCTTCTTCATTTTCTGTTAAGTCTGACTTTTCTGGCGTTGGCGGAGCTATGAGAATTGGAAGCTTATTACAACATTATACTTAACTAATTTTTGTCACTATTAATGAATTTAGAATTATAATATGTATAAAGGTTTTCGCAGCCATTTTAAAAAGCTTGCGTTTTCGAGTATTTCTTGTATACGACGGGCAAATAGCTCCTGAATTCCAAATTCCAAACTAATATAGTGTCTCTTTAAGAAATAACATCACCATTTGGTCTTAGATTTCAATAAAATTATACAAATTTAATTGAAATGCAAGATTATTAGGAGTCTATTTTTTGTTTCGAAACTATATCAGAAAAAAGTAGTGATATTGGACACTAGTTAAAAATATTTTTTTTTACGATTTGTAATTTGTAACAGTATTTATTGTTGAGAAACAGGATTCATATAGTTTTATTATATTGATTAGAAGAAGTACCTTTGGTATCTCCAATGAGATAAGGTTTCTCGCTGACCCTTTTTCCTTCAGCTAGACAAGCCAACAACCAATCCGCGGTTACTGCTGGTAGACCCCACTTCAATGCACCCAAATACTTGTCTCCGGTTGGAGTTGGACATATCAGATGGGTCGACGCTTGCGCATTTGCCGTATTTCGGCGACAGAAACGCAGTTGAGTACTGGACAAACAAATTAATATTATTGACGGTAAGATGTTTGTCTGATGTTTTTTAATGTCCACTAATAAAACAGACATATTGGATAGAGACTAATTTACTCTACTTAAAATAGTAAAATAAATAGTAGTAGTTGTAGTAAATAGTTTAAGATTGTAAAACATAGAATAAAAACACTTACGTTGCACCAAGTAGTTTTGCGACTTCGTCGAGAAACGCCCTCTCGAGCCCACTGTATGTACTAAGACTGGCCACAACGCCCTCTAGTGGACCACCGCCTGAATTACTCGGGATGGACACTGGACGATGATAGTATTGCAACGGTACTAACTCTTGTTGACACAAACAATCTTTCTGTGAATAATTCATTTTAATTTATTTTATATGCCGACAATATTTATTATCATTATTAAACTAGAGGTATACAATTATTATGTGCTTTAAACAATCTTCAATTAAAAAAAAAATACTTAATTCGCAGCATTTTATCGAATATATTTGTGTATCTGTGTACCCATGATAAATTAATATAAAATTTCTAACATTAAAATAAAAGCTAATTACTCACTATCCAAAATACTGTGATGTACTCCACGTTGCGTTCGTCGCAGTCCCAATCGAGTGGGACGAGGCGATAGGCTCCTTCGTCCCCTCCACCGCGAGCTACGAGCAACCCACCTGCAGCCGATATCTCTGCGCCTATCTCGCTAATGGCATCGTCTTCTAAGCCTTGCACTTCGATTTTTAATCCTGAAATGAATGATCTCATACACTCATAATATGTTGGGACTACATCTTTTCTTAATATTCATTTTCTCACTGCAGATTTTCCTTTGCATGAGAACATTCTTATGCAAAGTACTTCGCTAATTCGCTAAGTAAGATTTGCTTTAAAATTAAACTTATTAGGCAAGAACTGTAAATTATATATACATAAGTATATGTATATTTGGCATCGAGACAGTAAAAAACCTTACCTCTAAAAATCTGTTCAATCTCTTCAGTAGGATCATCTCCCATATCTTCGGTGATTTCCGGCACAGGTACTTCTACGGCTGGTTCAGGTGTTTTCTCTTTCGGCTCTGGTACATTTTCTGAAATGAAAAATGCAATTTCCAATAGTTGTGCTACCACAACAGTTTAATAAAAAGTTTAGACTGTATGTAACTTTAAATGTAATATGTAGTTACCCTTTCGTCAATAATAATGTATGTAAGTACTGTCTGTTGCTTGAGAGTTGTATTTAAATAAACCAATTTCAACAGTTTAAAACGCGAAATATATTAGTTTTTGCTGCTGCAAAAGCCATAGATACTAACATAGCAATGCTGTTATTAAGAACGTATTAAATAAACAACTTACGACTTAAATAATGATTGACGAGATCATCGTGCATTGGGTCTGGTTCCGGTTCTGGTTCTGGTGGAGGCAAATTTAAAGGTTCGTGTAGCAGCTGAAGGTTTCGTTTGCTCATCGGCGAAGCAGGTTCAACAGCTGCCTTGCGAGACTTTTTGGGTGTTGGGGCTTTGGTATTCATTAGAAACTAAAAATAATAAGTGTAATACACATTAGACACACTTTCTGTTCCACGTTTTGGTACAAAAGAGCAGCCAGATTATGAGAGGAGATTATGATATATGCACAGAAAGTAAAGAATGTACTGAGTCAGTACCTCGGATTCATCTAGAGCCCTCCCAGCCTCCACAGAGGCCAACAGCCATCTAGCACTAAGTACGGGAACAGTTGGCAGAGCTGCATTTGCACTTGCTGCTGCTGCCAGCGAGCCGGCCACAGAGTGTGTTACGCGCTCGTGCGGGGAGTCATAGCGAACACCACCGCACCGAGAGACACATGCCGTGGCACGTTCACGGCATACACCTTCGAGGCCCACTAGCCAAATCTGAAAATAATATAAACACAATTTTTCTTGTTGGTGCGATCGCCATTTATTTTTTAAATTTTTCCAAAACATGTTGGACTTTAAATACTGTCTATAGTTTACGCGAGTAGTACACATTTAAACGCGATATATTAGTTAAACTTATTTGAAAATTTTTTAAATAAGTTTAACTAATATATCGCGTTTTAAACCGTTAAAGTGTTTTATTTAAATGTTGGACTTTGTCTGGAAATATAGATATTAAATGGGTAGAAGGAATATTAAAATTCCGCCAAGGTCACGAACCACCATTCACAAACAGAAGTGTAGTCACGTTTCGGTTTCAGCCTATATATATATAATATCCAATGCTGTTATATCCAAATGTTGTTTATAAGAATTAAAATGTAAACTACCTTTTCAAAAATAGTAGTTATTTTGGATAGTTTGTTAAAGGATAACTTCATTATAACACACAAAATATTCATACATACACAAAAGCCATCAAATATCGGTCCTGCCTTTTTGATGGTTCTCATATCAAACTTCTCATACGCTTCTACCAGGTCCTTGTCCATAGATGTGTCATTCTTTTTTTGTTCTTGCGATAACTGTAATCATTATATATGTAGTTTTGATCTATTTATTATGAAGCACATATAACAGCTCTGCTAATCTTTACAATCTACTAGTTTATCAAAAAGAAAACTTCTATTGTATTGTATAATTCTATATTTATCCGTGCTGCTACTATTAAGTTACCGTGTCGGTGTAAGTTTTTTTAAGTCTCAGGTTTAGCATTTTAATGGCTTTAGCTATATAAATATTACTACCAATAAGCAACCTTACCTTCATTCTACTAGACAGAGTTATATCAACTGCTCTACTCTCATCCACAAAGTTACTTGGTGGTCTAAGGTTCGTTATCCGAGAGAAGTTTAAACCTGCAAAACATTGGTAACATGAAACAAATGTATTTTTTAACTTCTAACTCTTAATATTCATCCTCATTCATCTTCTTAAAATTGAGTAATTGAGATTTGAGCAATTATTCTAGACTTTTCTCTGATGTCAAGAGCAGCACATCAGGGATATGCCATCCACTTTCTGAACTTTCACTTCAGAAGCAATTGTGCCCAACCCAAGAAGCCTTGCAAAGGTAAAATCTTTATACAATTCACGTTCTTTCGTGTCTGCTGAAAATCGATACTGCCGTATTATATAAAATACGTTTAGTATTAGCAAACATTGGTACCATTAAACCACAGCAATAAAAAAAGACTCTTTCCATATCATACTCATATCTGGCAAGCGATGCTCAGCTAGGGGTGAAGAAGTGGAGGCTCCAGTAACTTTGTACTTGTGCAGTGGTAAAGCAACGCCTTTAGCCGCCGAGTCAATCACCCAGGCAGGAAGTACACAAGCCTTGCCATATTCCAACGCCGCTTTATACTTTTCACTTCCAACACCTTCCCTAAAATTTATAAGGATATGTAACTGTAAGATATAAAATATTCAATTGTCAACTATCTAGTAAGTTACCAGAACTGCTTAGTGTTTACACATTCTAGTTGCACAGTACACTATGTTCGGACTTCGGAGGAATACCATTTCAAAGACTTTTATTGATAATAGAATAAAAAGTAATAGAAAAAGTGTGTAACTTTTGCATTAAATTTAAGTTGAACAAAAAATATCGCGTTTTAAACCATTCAAGTGTTTAATTTAATTGTGTACTACTCCCGTAAACTACAGACAGTATTTAAAATATATTACTTACTTTGTAAGTACAACTACATCTGTACTTTCACTTTGAAAAGCACCAGAAAAAGTTCCTCCATGCTCATTTACCAACTTTACAATGGTTAGCTTTTCTCGTTTTGTTATCCCTGATGTAGTTACCTGGATTTTATATTAAAAATAATTTGATTTCTTAAAGATCGATATAAGTAATAATTACCTTTATTTAACTATTAACAGGTATCCCTACAATATTTTAACTAAAGTGATTGCTTACTTGCAGGTTAATAAAAGGTGGAAGACGATGAAAATCAAATTCACTTGAGGATCCATTAATATTTTGGGTAAGTGATGATTCCCAGACTGCCTCAACCCATGATTCACTCATAACTGGTATACCCTTTTCTACAGATTTCTAAAAATAATAAAAACACACACAGACTTTATTATATACAGTAAAAATGGAGTATTTAATAATGATTTGAATCCAAATAAACCCTACTTACAATATATTTCTCAGAGAGCACAGTATCAGACACTAAGTGAGTGGTCTCTTCTGTCAATACTGTGCTATAAATACCACCCATCCATTGAACTTTCTTTTTTTATACTCTCCTATAAGCAATAATTATTTATATTTATATTTTTATACTAACTATTATGTAGTATCCCTACTACTACTAGATTACCTTCTGTTGTTTAAACAAACCACTTGCAGTTATAACAAGACCTCTCATAGCTATTGTGTAAACTGGATCTGGTCCAGAGGGTATAGGACTTCCTTCTGTAAGGCAGCATGATAAACAGCGGGGACCAACTAACCTGATAATAGGAAAATCATAAATTTTTAAGATACAGCAGCAATATTAATGAAACAACAGTCTTTTTAGATTATTTAAAAATCTTGTAATAAATAGAATACTAACAAACACTTTGTTAGCCTAAGTCTCTCAAATAGCTCTCCAGAAAACTCTGACAGTACAAATACATCTTTTTTAGTGAGGCCATCGAATTTTTTCCATTTCGTTTCATGTACAAACTGAGCTTGTATACCTCCTCCAGAGTGTTGTTCACAAGCCTGCAATACTAATACGGATAAGTCAATGTTCAGAAGTATTTATGTAATAATACAAAAAAAAAGTTAATCAGTTTTTACAGTATAAGCAAGTTTCATTTCTTCGCTGCAGTCATTTTCGTTTTTAACGTTCTTGGGAATAATAAATGTCACAATGATGTCTTCCGTCATTTTCTTGATTTATGTCGGTTTTGTGGTAAACGTATATTTTTGTATGTTATTGATAGCACTAATGTTCCACGGGTTTCCGTAAATTATTTACATTTTACATAAACTAAATGGCGCGTACCCATTATTTACACAAATTCAAATTGTGTTGTCAATATCAAACGTCAAACCCATAACTGGCTATACAGTTTATAGAAAATTATAGCATATCTATATTGATTAAACACGACCACAGTCTTTGACCATGAACCCAGTCTAGTATAAATATTAACTTAATACATCTGTAATTATTATTTAAAATAGGTTATGTTTTGAAGTGGTTTTAAATTGAGGTTATACTGGGTTATCATATTTTAAAAATCTTAATAGGGTTTCACATTAAAATTATTATGATGCAGAAACTAAACTTAAATTAACGCAAACTACGTGTTATACACGTTTACACGTTTTCGTTGTCATTTAAAGCTGTAAAAACATAGTGACTATCAAAATGTTATATGATGACTTTAAACCTATTGTGGATATTGTCCTCAACAATTGGACTGCTTTGCAACTCGCTGTTGAGCATGGAATGGGTGCTCCTGGCGGTGAGAAGGTAAAATTTTCTTCATGATCATTAACATACTCTATAACAGCAAAGTTTTATTTCAGTAGGATAATGTTATGAATGATACATACTTGTGGATTGAAATATATTACAATATTTTACAACTTTTAGACTGCACAGTTGATGTCCGTATATGTGGCGAGATTTTGCGTTGAGAACATTGCAGATGTTGATGAACTTACTGAGGTTCTGGAAGACTTAATGGATGAAGAATTTGAAACAGTGTGTCATGACAATTCACCAAGGGGTAATAGATTTCTCTTGAATTAAAAAACATAAATATAAGGGATATTTATGGTATTTATGTTGTTAAATCCTATTTGCAGAAGTGGCAGCTTTGTTATTGAATTTCCTAACATTATTAAAGGATGGTCAACATGAAGAACTAAGAAACCGTGTTGAGGCAATGCCCAAATGTCAAAAGTGGCTTAGCACACCTATTCATGATGAATCCACTCCACCTCAGGTATTTTGAAGGTTTTTTGCCGTGTCGGGTTCAAAGTTTATAATTTATTTTCTCACAATAATAGACTTACATTGGTTATTTCCTTAAATTTAAGATTAAATCATAATCATTTTTTATATGTTATATAAAATGAATTATTAGTGTTTGCAAAACTATGTATCTAGATTGATTAGTATTGAAAGTACATATTACTAGCTAGATACAGTTAAATGAATAATTTCAGTTATATTAGCTTTATTATTATATTCATTAAAATGTTCATCTATATTTTTTTGTTGTTTCAGTGCCATGGAAACCCAGATGACAATACTACAAGTAGTAGTGGTGAAGAAGAAGAAACTGATAGAAATGTTATTGAGAGTAATTCTGCTCCTGAGCCTATGGAAGAAGATCCTGAACCTGGTTGGACTGTAGTTAGAACACGAAGAAAAAAATAAAAGATAATATATTATATGAAATATTTTATATGGAATCACATCTCATGCAGTTCTTAATACCTATATATTATACAAGACAGATTTAATTTTTGTTATTACTAAAAATACTTAGTACTAAATTATACGTAGTACTAATTGTACTTAAACTTAAGGGGACACTGTGTAATAGCAATATAATATAGTAGTATAGTTATTGTTTTACAACAAATGTAAGTTATGTTACGTACTACAATATAAACAATTGTTTTGTAGTAATTTGTTTTGATCTTGATGACAATTGACATAAGGGTGACAAATGAATATCATCTGCGCTCACCAATAGTAGCATGCTATGTGACAGGTCACACTATTTTAGGTGTGTATGAGACGTGATATATAATTATGTTGTGGTACTGATCCCCAGAATGCTTTTCATTAATGTTTAGTTAAATTTTAAATAAATATTTCGGTCTAGTGTAATCTCATTTAAAAATAAGAAATGCCTTTAACAGCTAGACAACGAAGCATACACAATAAAAATGGAGCTAAAAGATCAGCTAGCCTGAATAAAGGCAAACGATCCAGGAAACCTAGTGAAGGGTAATTATTATTAAACATTCTTTAATAGTTATTTTAACGGGTATTCAAGTGCTCATAACCTAAGATTTGGGTAGTAGTAGCATCTTATATTTTAGTCTTTGTACTCCCTAAAATGAAACCTTGTTTCCCTCTACTTCCTATAAAAAACAAAAATCCTTACTGGAAATCATTATTTTTTCAAACAGAGAGTTCTTAGTGACAAATGCTCCAACTGATTTACGTAGTATATCCTATCCTGGTGGCATGGTAGCCTTGGCATTGTTGTTAACTGCTCGGTTAATATCTGCATATTGGGGACATATAGCAGATTGTGATGAAACCTATAACTATTGGGAGCCATTACATTATGTAGGTAAGGTTACATTATTTTTACAATATATTATTTCTATTCAAAGCATTAAACACAAACTTAAAACATGAAAACTTATGTAGAATATTAAAAGTATTATACAAATAAAATATATTGTGTTAATCACCTTGTGTTTCATATTATATAATAGCAAGAAAAGTTTGCATGTTAACTAACTTAAACCCAACTTAACCTCCTTACTTTCATCTAATGTTTTCATTTACAAATGAGCCAATCCTTACAGACCACATATTTTCTAAAAATGTATACTTAAACTCCAGTTGTCATGTTTTTCAGTTTATGGCAGCGGTTTACAGACATGGGAGTATAGTCCAGCTTATGCAATTAGATCCTACATGACAATATGGTTGTTTGCGATTCCAGCAAAAGTTTTATCATTTTTTATGACTCCTGTCTCTGTTTTTTATGCGATACGAGTTTTATTAGGGACAATGACTGCATGTGCCGAATTCATGTTTTATAAGTAAGTATATAAAACTCATTGCTTAGTTTTAATGCATATTAGAAAATGACTATCAATAATACTACACACATATAACTATATACATATAATCATATAAATTTTTGACAATGTTATTAAAATCTTTTCAGAGCAGTATGCCATGAGTTTGGTGTACATGTAGGAAGAATTTGGCTTTGTCTCACTCTAGCTGCAGCAGGTTGTTTTGCATCATCAGCAGCTATGCTGCCATCTGCTTGGAGTTCGGCTCTTGTGTCTGCAGCCTTAGCAAGCTCTTGGAGGCGAAGATACCCAGCTGCAGTAATATTAACTGCCATTACAACATTACTAAGTTAGTAATAATGCATAACATATTATATTGTACTCTGATAGCCATTCCTTTCTTTTGATACCTGTGTTTTATTATATTACATACTCAAAAGTCTTGGTACTTTCAGTACATAATGGTGTTTATTATTTACTTCAGTACAAATGACATACGGATTTTAAAATATTAGTTGTACTTATAACATGTGCTAGTTCTTTAAGTTTGTTAAGATGTCTTATGTTATATACAAACACAAATTTAATACTCAGTTAGTTTCTAATTATATCTACATTATGTTCCAGGTTGGCCATTTACAGCACTTATTGGAGTACCAATTGCAATAGATATGCTTGTCTTCAAGAAGAAATTCTATGAATTTTTTAAATGGTCCATTATATCTCTAATGGTAATTCTATTACCCACTGTTTTAGTGGATTCTTGGCATTATGGACGACTGGTTATCGCGCCGTGGAATATAGTAGCTTATAACATATTTACAGACCATGGCCCTGATTTGTATGGTGTTGAGCCTTGGACCTTCTACTTTGTGAATGGTTTTCTAAATTTCAATCTTGTTTGGGTGAGTACTTAAAATCAATACTAATATTTTATGCTGAAGAGTTTGTCTAAACGCTCTAATCTCAGGAACTACTGGTTCAAATTAAAAATATATATATATATATTTGTTACCACTTAACGAGGAAAGCTTTAGATGATATAACATCAAGCTAGTGAACTAACAGAGGGAAATGTGGAAAAAGGGGAAATTAGTGGGCTTCCATGAAGTTGCGCTAAGAAAATGGTTCAAGTCAGTTTCCTCGCGAACAAATTATTATTGAAGTATATTGCTCTTTAATACAAAAGTACTGAATAGTACTTTTTTTTTAAGAACACCTTTTCTTAATCACCACTATTGTAGTTTCGTCAAGTTTATCACGGCTCAAGTTATATTATTACAATATATATATAAGTTTTATTATTACAATCTCAATTTGTATCTTAATTACAGGTATTGGGACTTTCTTGCCCTTTGCTACTCATAGCTTGCCGACTTATCGCTACACGTTCGATTGCTCCGCCAGCTTTTTGTATACCATATTGGCTTAGTTTGATGCCGCTTGCATTGTGGCTCGCTGTCTTCATGCTGCAACCACATAAGGAAGAGAGGTAACTTGGAATTCTTATTCAAATCATTGTTTCTTTTTTTGCTTATGATATCAAGTAAAATTGTTAATAAAATCATGTTATGACATTTATTAAATGTAGCACTCAGCAAGCAATATTTTATGAACCAATTAGACATACTATGTCATAATATATGTCATTTTTATTCATACTTTTGGGTATACTTTATGCATATAAATTTTCTATAACACTTGTTTTCAATTACTAATGGTAAAAATTATAAAATTTTCAGGTTTTTATATCCAATATACAGTATGATTGTATTAGCTGGGGCTATATCCTTGGATTGCATTCAAAAAATGACATTTGCAGTAGGGACAGAGCTATTCAAGTGGCGTAAGGAGCGAGAGAGACGACACTATCTTGCTTACACCAACAGTCTCGCTGTGATGTTTGTTTTCTTGTTTAGTGTTGCTAGTAAGTGATTAATCATTTGTTTTATATAATAGTGCTTAGATTCTTGACTTTTGGAGTTTATTTACGTGGAAACGTATATTCTCTTCTAGCCGTGGCCGCGGCTTCGTCCACATCCCGTTGTTCTTTTTTTCCACATTTTCCTCGCTCGTATGGGTCGCAGTTTAATGTTTTATAGCCTAAAGCCTTCCCCGATAAATTCTCTAACGCAAATTATTCTGAGATTCGCGTTCAAACATATAAATTAACCTAACTTTATAATATTACATATTGAGGGAGTTATCTTTTAAAAAAATTATTTTAATTATTTTTAAACGAAATAATATACTTTTGTCCTACCAAATTTACATCTATTCTATGACACGAAATCTTTTGAAGTAAGCTAAAACGTATGTAACATACTTAGAATTTAAAACTTCATTTCAGGTTTATCGCGTATAGTGGCCCTTTACAACCATTATCATGGTCCGATGGTTCTTTTGCGCCACGTGCCGAATGAACCAAGTGTGGTGTGCTTTGGCAAGGATTGGTACCGTTCACCCTCCAGCTTCCATTTACCATCAGGAAGCAGTATACGTTTTGTCCCCAGTGAATTTGATGGACAATTACCAGCTCCTTATAGCAGTCTACCTAATGGTAAATGAATAAAAATATTGACACTATAATATATAATTCAAATAAAAATAAGGGTTTTAATTTTTGAGTATACTAGTGCTATGGTCTGTTCTATAAGATACTTATCTGAAACCCGCTAATCTCAAACTACTAGCCTAGTTTAAATCTTTTTTATTAACTTATTAATCTGAGAAGTTATACACAGTCTAAATAAAACAAGATTGATAAACGATGGTCTGTGTATTTAAAAAAAAAAGATTTTTTTTTTCTTAAACTAGTTGTTGCATGTGCTTGAGGAGTCAGTTTTTTTTTAAATAAAAACTGGAAACTACGCTTTCTTTATTCAAATAATTGAACTATTTTTCCACTAGGTTTCCAGACATATTATGTTTACAATAATTAGTTAATAAGACAAACACTGTATTTCATATTTTTATTCGATGCGATATGAGCATAATACCATATTTTTATAGATCAAAAGACATACAACAAATTGTTAACTAAATCTTGGTAAACTCTACATGTAATTTCAAATAGAACACTATTTCACTTATTTTTTTTTGCTTCAGCTACTAGGATCATCCACCCTTACTTCAACGACCTAAATAAGGGAGACAACACAACATATCTGGCCCCTTCAGATTGTCAGTACCTGATTGATTCAGACATAGGCAGTCCAACAAGATTACAGCCCTCCTATCACAAGGATACAAAAACGTGGCAGATTTTAGCCTCCGTACCTATACTGGACGCGTCCAAATCTAACAGGGTTTTGCGTGCCTTTTATATTCCAGGGTTGTCTTATAAACATATTGTTTATTCTAATCTGTACTTATTGAAGAATGTGTTAGATAAGCAGTAAGTAAAGAACATTAGTCTGTTTTAATAGAATTAGGTATTTATAATTGATAAATGTTGTGCGATTTATTAATGCACTTTTGACTGTATTATATCATGAAAGATATCTTATTAAGAATACATTTGTGACTTTGATTCGCAAAACGCAATAATTTAATGCTAGTCATGTCAATAGGTTTGATTTAGAAAAACAGCGAAAAATATCAGTTATATTTTTGTTTTCTAATAGTGCCTTTTGTTTTTATTATGTTAGTACTAATAATATGCTTTTATATTGCTTGCACTTTCATATACAAGGTTATTCCTACTTCATGCGAAACCTTAACGTAGTTTGCTCAGAATCAGTAACAGAATTCATTACTATTGGAATTTTATACCATGTTATATTTTTTGTCAAAATTATATGAAATTTTTGAAATCTTGGACACCGTTCGATAAATAAATACCTGCATAAGTATAACTAAATAGGTCTAAAAATTCGGAAAATCCACGGCGGCGGCTCGGCGTTATCGCGCACGCGCGCCGCTCCGCACTCCTAGAACGACAGATAGTCCTAACTGTCAACGCGGTCAGTGCCTGCGCAACCCTTTCGCGGTGATTACGTAACAACTTTCTTCCGAATTGCAAGCAAGCGATTGCGCATCCCACGGTCGTCTCATCCTTCGCGGTGTTTTTTTTAAGTGTTTACAAACATGTCTTACAATTATACCAATGTTCAATATGTGGAAATGGTGCAAACACTTGCTTTGTGTGGTGATAATCAAGAACAATCATGAACAATTCGGCATCTTAGTATCATGGACGGTGCACCAGCTCACTATTCGCGTCTAATGGAGATGGCGCGCTGCGTCGGCGCCTGCTCAGTGACTATGATAATGCGGGATAAATATTAACATGAAAAAATTTAATAACTTCGTGGGTTTTCATTTTTGTTTAATTTTGATTTTTTATTCTGATTCTGCAAATAAAAAGACGTTTGGCGTGTTTCAGCTTTAGTATCAACAAAGAATAACCTTGTATACCTATCTTTTTGCTTATCTATACTAATATTATAAAGCTGAAGAGTTTAAAATAAGTATAAAAGATTCCTCTTTAAACGATCATAAAACTGTCCACGACTGTTACTATCTTTTAAGATTAACTTGCTAGAACGACGGGACGCGATTTGCAAAAACAAATTTAGATGTTCAAAGTAACTCTTATCTCATACGCTATCTTCTTGCGTATTTCATTATACAATTACTGAAACAGGCATAGACTTTAAAATAAAACACTTTAACGGTTTAAAACGCGATATATTAGTTAGACTCATTAGTTCATAGCGCACGCACTCTTTTCATTCATTCACGAAATTAAAAATATATCTGATAGCTGTTATATGTATTTATTTATTTTAAGTAAATAAGCATAATTTAAGAAGTAAGTTATAGTGAAGTAAAACCAAAGGCGTTTCTACTTTTATAAACGTTACAAATTGTGATTTTAATATGATTTCTAATAAATGCATGATAAACGGATACATCTTTCATTTATCCTTGTGTTAATAGATTTTAACATTCCTTAAAAACGCAATGGCTTCATAATCGGGTTGGTGACGATTTAGTTGTAGGATAACGTAGTTTAATGTAAGATTATTTCTTTTACATTGATTAATTTTGTTTGTATATTTTGGATTTTGTTTCTATTGAACGTAAATTCTTCGTAACATGAGGGAAATTGTTCATATACAAGTTGGCAGATGCGGAAACCAGATAGGTTCTAAGGTAAAGTTCCTCACTTGTTCTTACTATCATAAAGTAGACTCCGTCTGTGGTTTACTCGTCTAATACATTTAAATAAAACACTTTAACGGTTTAAAACGCGATACATAATAATTAAACTTATGTATTTAGAAATTATTTTTAAAGTACGGCTCGACATTTCGGATTCTCCATGCGTGCGTGCATGCGTGGTCATGAGGAGACTGTTTCGCCGTGACCACGTCTGAATCATTTCCAAATAATTTAAACTCGTATATAGCGCATTATAAAACGTTAAAGTGTTATTTAAAGTAGACTCTGTTATAAATTATTTTTTAGCAATTTTTTATTTATTGCAGTTCTGGGAGGTGATATCAGATGAACACGGTGTAGATCCAAACGGCTGTTACTCGGGAGACTCGGATCTTCAACTCGAACGTATCAATGTATACTACAACGAAGCCACTTGCAGTAAATACGTACCTAGAGCCGTTTTGGTTGACTTAGAACCTGGGACTATGGACTCATTACGTTCAGGTCCCTACGGCCAAATTTTCAGACCGGACAACATAGTCTTTGGCAGCACTGGTGCCGGAAATAACTGGGCTAAAGGATATTACACAGAAGGGGCGGATTTACTAGATTCGATTCTCGATGTTATAAGAAAAGAAGCAGAGGGTTGTGATTGTCTACAGGGTTTCCAAATGGTGCATTCTATTGGAGGAGGTACGGGATCTGGTTTAGGTACATTAATGCTGACCCAGTTGAGAGAGGAATATCCAGATCGAATTCTGCAAACGTTCTCCGTTGTTCCCAGTCCTAAAGTATCGGATACCGTTGTAGAGCCTTACAACGCGACTCTATCACTTAACCAGTTGATAGAAAATTCTGATCAAACCTTTTGCATAGATAACGAAGCCTTATACGACATTTGCTTCAGAACGCTTCGGCTGCAAACGCCAACGTACGGTGATTTGAACCATTTAGTATCAGCTACCATGTCTGGCGTAACGACTTGTTTGCGATTCCCTGGCCAGCTCAACGCTGATTTACGGAAGCTGGCTGTTAATATGATTCCGTTCCCGCGATTGCATTTTTTTATGCCCGGTTTTGCGCCTCTTACATCACGTGGAGTGCAAAAGTACAGAGCATTAACCGTCCCAGAACTCACACAACAAATGTTCGACGCTAAAAACATGATGGCCGCGTGTGATCCACGCCACGGTCGTTATTTAACTGTCGCTGCGGTCTTTAGAGGTAGAATGTCTATGAAAGAAGTGGACGAGCAGATGTTAAACATACAAAACAAAAACAAAGATTACTTCGTTGAATGGATACCGAATAACGTGAAGACGGCAGTCTGTGATATTCCTCCTCGCGGTCTTAAGATGTCTGCCACTTTTATCGGCAACACTACTGCTATTCAAGAACTCTTTAAGAGGATTGCTGAACAGTTCACATCTATGTTTCGGAGGAAAGCGTTCATTCACTGGTATACCGGTGAGGGTATGGATGACAATGATTTCACTGAAGCGGATAATAATCTCAGCGATCTAATATCAGAATATCAACAGTATCAAGATGCCACAATCGAAGATCAAGAGTTTGAGGAAGAAGAAACAGTTCCTAATGATGTAAGCGATGAATGAGAATATAACTTTATTTATGTTACAGCTTAAATTATACGCGAAATATAAAAATGAAAATTGTTATTGAATTTGTATTTCATTTCGTAGTTTAAATTTCTTTAAAAAGTCTGGTATTTTGTTAGTATGTAAAAAAATTTAGTATAGTGTAGTACGATTTTGGAAGGATATTTACTATATTCTATTTTTTCATTAAATCCTCATTGCGCATTAACTATTTCGAATTCTGTTATAAAAAAATTGTAATATTTAAATTGGAATAGAATTTGAGTGTATTTGACAATAGAACAAATTAATTCATTCTTTTAGGAAATTTTGTAAGTGATGCACGTGTAATAAAAGGAAGTAACTATTTTTGTATGATATGATATATTGAGAAATCTGAAAATTTAACCAGCTAAGTTTTAGGCTCTAAATTTTTTGTGAATAAAAATGAGGGAAATCGTCCACATCCAGGCCGGGCAGTGTGGTAACCAGATCGGAGCTAAGGTAAACCTTTATGCTACGATTTTCTTAGTTAATAGGTGTTATTTTCTCACACTGTGATCTATTTCTTATATATTAGTCGCATTTAAATTGAAATCGAATAAACTTTCTGTCATCAGTTCTGGGAAGTGATATCTGATGAACATGGCATCGACCCAACCGGCGCTTACCAAGGAGACTCTGATCTTCAGCTCGAGCGAATCAACGTGTACTACAACGAAGCTTCCGGTGGCAAATACGTCCCCAGAGCTGTCCTCGTCGACCTCGAGCCCGGTACCATGGACTCAGTGCGTTCAGGACCGTTCGGACAAATCTTCCGCCCAGATAATTTCGTGTTCGGCCAGTCTGGTGCAGGGAATAACTGGGCCAAGGGACACTACACGGAAGGGGCAGAACTAGTAGATTCGGTACTTGACGTAGTCCGAAAAGAAGCGGAAGGTTGTGATTGCTTACAAGGATTTCAGCTGACACATTCATTAGGCGGGGGCACTGGGTCTGGAATGGGCACTTTACTAATATCTAAAATAAGGGAAGAGTACCCTGATAGAATTATGAACACATTTTCAGTTGTCCCTAGCCCGAAAGTTTCAGATACAGTCGTAGAACCGTACAATGCGACGCTTTCTGTTCACCAACTTGTCGAAAACACTGATGAAACTTTCTGCATTGATAACGAGGCGTTGTATGACATTTGCTTCCGTACTTTAAAACTGACGACACCTAATTATGGAGACTTGAATCATTTGGTGTCGGCAACTATGTCTGGTGTTACAACTTGTCTAAGATTTCCAGGTCAACTGAACGCGGACTTACGGAAGCTGGCTGTGAATATGGTCCCGTTTCCTAGATTACATTTCTTTATGCCTGGGTTTGCCCCCCTCACGTCTCGTGGAAGCCAACAATATCGCGCCCTGACGGTGCCTGAATTGACACAACAAATGTTTGATGCCAAGAATATGATGGCGGCTTGTGACCCACGTCACGGTCGATACCTGACCGTTGCAGCTATCTTTCGCGGAAGGATGTCCATGAAGGAAGTGGACGAACAAATGCTTAACATCCAAAACAAAAACAGCAGCTACTTCGTCGAATGGATCCCGAACAATGTAAAAACAGCTGTCTGCGACATTCCACCGAGGGGTTTGAAGATGTCGGCAACCTTTATAGGAAATACTACAGCAATTCAAGAATTGTTTAAAAGAATTTCTGAGCAGTTTACAGCCATGTTTAGGAGGAAAGCATTCTTGCATTGGTATACTGGCGAGGGTATGGATGAAATGGAATTTACTGAAGCTGAAAGTAATATGAATGATTTAGTTTCTGAATACCAGCAGTACCAAGATGCTACAGCAGATGATGAAGGGGAGTTCGACGAAGAAGTAGAAGAATAATTTCAATTATAGGTACAAGTGTTGTCCAGTATTTGTATACGTCTTTGGTGTAACGTCTCCTAATTGTATTTGTGTATTAATATAAAATGTGGAAATAAATATTTACATATACATAAGGTTCTTCTTGAGGTACTGTTGTCGTTTCTATCAATTAAAATACTAGCTGTGCCCGCGACTTGAATACTGACTTGAGGTAGGATTTTTGATTATTTTACTAACTGTTTATTAATTATGTAGGGCACATTTAAGGCAAGCAATCTGTTGCAAGTGCTACTTTGCAGCAACACTCACCTCACATCACTCCTCTAACTCCCACTCTCATTCCTACACTCACTCTCACTCCCACTCCTAGTCCCAAAAAGCCAAAGAAGAAAGTTTCATTGTTCTATCTTCTAAAACCACCAATTTCCATACAAACTTTCATCCTCTTTTTCAATCCCTATTAACCCTTACACTGTAAAATTTAAGAATCGAAAATAAATTGAAAAAATGTTCGACTCGGGCAGAACTTGAGCCGGCTCTACCAATTGAGCTACCGAGCAATACACTTCATCGTCATTCGACGATATGGTGGAGATGAAGAATTTCCCCCGTTTTGTTCACATTACTCGCTGTATCTTCGCTCCCATTAGTCATATCGCATATATAGTCAAAAAAATAATATTTCTTGCCTGGCCTTTGGCTAAAAAACATCACGCTGCGACGAATAGGAGCGATGTAGGAAATGTGGAACAAGTCTTTCCGATAATGGGCGCCGGGCCTAAGCAGTTCGGGATAGGTATAATTGAAAATCCTTAGATAATCATACCTATCCCGAATCGCGGGTGTGTGTCTTAAGCGTTCGGGACACCACTAACACTATTCAGACTATGTACATACAACCTATAAAATAATCGAGGTAGGGTAGTGTAATCCATTTGTCTCGGCATCTACGAGTACTAAAAATTAAACCGTTTAGAAATACATTTGTTTATTTCCAACATATAAAGACATACACAAAACACTAAATGTCATTCTTCTAATCCCTCTCCTTCCGCTTCTTCATCGAATTCTCCCTCATCGTCAGCTGTGGCGTCTTGGTATTGCTGGTATTCTGATATTAGGTCGTTCATATTGCTCTCTGCTTCTGTGAACTCCATTTCATCCATACCTTCACCAGTATACCAGTGTAAGAAAGCTTTCCTCCTGAACATCGCTACAAACTGCTCTGCCACCCTTTTGAATATACTTTGAATGGCTGTTGTGTTTCCAATAAACGTTGACGACATCTTTAAACCTCTAGGCGGAATGTCACATACTGCAATCTTGCAGTTATTGGGTATCCACTCAACAAAATATGTACTGTTCTTATTCTGAATATTAACTAGTTGTTCATCAACCTCTTTCATTGACATTCTGCCTCTGAATATCGTCGCTACTGTCAGATATCTGCCATGTCGTGGATCACAGGCTACCATCATATTTTTTGCATCAAACATTTGAAGTGTCAATTCAGGTACAGTTAAAGCTCTATACTGCTGGCCGCCTCTAGACGTTAAGGGCGCGAAGCCTGGCGTGTAAAAGTGAAGGCGAGGGAAAGGCACCATATTCACGGCAAGCTTTCTCAAGTCCGCGTTGAGTTGGCCAGGGAATCTTAGACACGTAGTGATTCCAGACATCGTAGCGCATATTAAATGGTTCAAGTCGCCATACGTTGGCGTGGTGAGCTTCAGCGTTCTAAAACAGATGTCGTATAACGCCTCGTTGTCCAGGCAAAAGGTGTGGTCCGTATTCTCTACGAGCTGGTTCACCGCAAGTGTTGTGTTGTATGGCTCAACGACACAGTCTGAAACTCGTGCACTCGGAAACACGGAAAAAGACAGGATGATTCTATCTGGGTATTCTTCCCTTATTCTGTTTATCAACAGAGTGCCCAATCCGGCACCAGTCCCACCACCTAGGGAATGAGAAATCTGGTAGCCTTGAAGGCAGTCGCAACCTTCAGCTTCTCGTCGAATCACGTCTAATGCCGATTCTAGAATTTCGACACCTTCCGTGTAGTGGCCTCTCGCCCAGTTGTTGGCTCCGCCACCTTGACCGTAGACGAAGTTGTCAGGTCGATAAAGACATCCAAACGGTCCCGAACGTACGGCGTCCATCGTGGCTGGTTTGAGATCTACGAGCACCGTTCGGGGCACATATTTGCCGCCTGAAGCCTCATTGTAGTAGACATTTATTCGTTCCAGCTGCAGATCCGAGTCACCGTGATAGCAGCCGCTTGGGTCGATACCGTGTTCGTCAGAAATCACCTCCCAAAACTGAAAATAAAATATTTTATTAAATTTTAATACATAAATAATAGACTAGAACTTCCTTAGACCTTTTACGTAAAGACATTCTAAACATTATTTACCTTTCCCCCGATTTGATTTCCACACGAACCAACTTGAATGTTGATAATCTCCCTCATCTTGTAAATTTATCTTCTTTCAGCTTCAGATACTTGTAAATTTCTCCAATAAGAGTATCAGAATATTTTTACAAAAGTGAAACTTAACATTAGCTTAAAACTAATAAAAAAAGTATAAAAATCAAGAAACGATTTACACCGTGCGCATCTTACGTCGGATTTCAGAGAAATGAAATAAAATGCATGTAAATGACTTACAGGAAGATTTAAACTAAAGTTCTAGAACATTGTAAATTCTTCTTTATCGTACTTTTGTATCAAATAAGGTTTCAAGCATTGTAATGAGGTAATAAATCCTCTCCGACGACTATTGTAATGCATAATGCATCAAATAATTGTGAATTGGTTATTTAAAACACCCAAAACCATGCCACCTCGCGGCGTTTACCCGAAACTGATACGTCTTGTAATTTCCTGATATCGCGCTGAAAATAATTTCGTCAATACAGAACAGATAGCACCACCGTGCGCTGGCTTGTTTTGTTTTCAGCTTTGTCAAATTGTCACAGTGGCCATGGCTCGCTCGAAATGTCAGCTAGGTAGCAATTCATTTAAACAATATGAATAAGAATCATTGTTTTAGTATGATGTAGTCGCGTTGAATGTGTCGTGCGCGGTTCGAGCGCTTTTGGCGCGATGTCCGTAGCCGCAGCTAACGCGAGTGACTTCAAAACCTCCTTCGAAGACAGCACGGACAGTGACAATGAAACGGAGAAGAAGCCGTTGCTGCGGAGGATATCCACCAGCAAGTGTGTCGGCAGACTGGTGAGCTAAGCCCATTGTTTTGATTCAGGCCGCTAAAGTATGGGCGTGCCATCTGACAGATTGCGGGGCGCGCGGGGGAACATGTGCCCGGGACGCTGGAGCTGCGATTATTACCGTTTGTTTACCCTGAATAGATTTTTGTTTGAATACTAATAGATGATAAACGCGGCTGTAAATACTTTTACATTTATGACCTTTTTAAAACTCATCCATTGCGTAAAACTACTACAGCTAACAACTAGTTACATTTACGCTATAATAACGAAATTTCGTATCGAAGAATAATTATTATTGTTTGTAGACATTTCTAATATATTACACCAACAGGTAAATATAAATAAATGGCAAATACGGTTATGTTAGGGTAGAGGGGTGATTGAACCCTTATAGACGCCAAGGGAATGCAGAACAAACGAGGCGTTAATATATATTATCACACATTTACTTTACTCTAGACATTTCTATTGATAACTATGATATTTATACGGTATCGTCTTCATTAACAAAAAGTGAAAGCTTTTTTTATTATCTATGTAATGTAAAAATTCATTTATCTATTTACATATATTTCTTCATTAGAGCAAAAACCGCTGGTCTATTTAAACGCAGTAAATTGACCTAGTGGTGTAGAGCTATTAAGTCAACAGCTTGCGTTTAACGCACATTTTATAAATAAAAGCTTTATCGTGTAATTGCTTTGAACCACGCAGTCGTTTTTTATTTAAAATAATAAATATGTTACTAATAAACGGTAAAAGTAAATTTTAATCTTGAACTATATTAACAATGAACCCTAAAACTTTGTCGCAAGATTATAATGAAGTAAGTAACAAAATATAATTTAGATGGAAAAAATAAATAAAAAGTAATTTGATTAATTTTTATGTTAGGGAATACAAAACGATAGACACAAAATTTTAGATTGCTTCCCCACCCCCTTGATCCCCGTAAATATCGCTAAATTATTAATAACAATCGTTGACCCTCATTTAATAATAGTACTTCGATTTTAAGTTATTAAGGAATTACCTTAATTAAAAAAATACCTTAAACCCTTTCGTGACGTACTTGTGCCTAGACGTTTTATATTTTTTCTATAAACTATTCGATAATATTACTTCGTTTTCAAGTTATTAAGCGATTACTTTAATAAAACAATACCAATAACTTAAATGCTGTCGTGGCTAATAAATGTAATATGATAACTACGATAACAGTATCGGCGTTAATTTAAAAACATTTTAATTTAGAATTTTACTTGTTAAGGAAGTGTGAAATATTTTGTAGCATTTCGAAGGCCCGCGTTTCTGCCTTTTTAAACATCATGTGTCTCCAGAGGAAGAAAAGGCATCTTTATCTTTATCATAATTTTTTTTGTTAAAATAATTCGTTAAAAATATATTTACATAACTGAATTAAAATTTAAAAAAATACTTAAGCAAAATTCATAATCGAGTTTCGTACAGAAGTAACGAAGCGTTAGCGTTACCACAACTTAATATGTACATTTTTCCCAATTGACAGCACTTTATTTAAATATCTACATACTACATCTTTACTTTATCATAGCAATATTCCCATCCCGTTGTTGTCTTATCTGTTATTGGAATGAAAAATACGAGTTTAATTAGTTCCAGGGTAACCATATGTTATGTCATTTTCGTTCATGAATGTCATGCTTCTCACAAAAACTAATTGAAGACCACTTTTTCATTCATTCCTTCTCATAAATCAAAATTAAAGACAAGGAATAGTTATCAGAAAGGGATTATCTACACAAAAAACTTTTTTAAATCTAAAATAGTTTTATAATAATATTATAAAGCTGAAGACGTGTTTGTTTGAACGCGCTAAGAAATATTTAGAAATATTTACCGATAAAAACAGAACTAGTGGAGTATTTATCGAGGAAGGATTTAGGCTATAAAACATCGCCTATTAGTAGGAGCGACGAAATAGAACAGAAACAAAAAATATGAAAAAGAAAAAAATGATTTTCTTTAACTGATTTAAAAAAATGTCTGCGACAATATATACTTGCAAGAACAACGGGGCGCAGACGACGTTATAACGTTTGATGCCTAAAATAACTATTAAAATATTATACGCGGACATAGTCACTGACACAGCTAGTCTAAAATATTGTTTCAATGATCAATATTTTCAGCATTCAAACATCTAGTCAAATCATTGATAATTAAAAATGTAGGTTTCTGAAAATCAATCCTGCTAATTGGGGCACATTAATGAAAAACTAACAAGCGATAACATCAACCAATTAGGCGATGAAAATTGAATGTCAATTGGAGTTCTGTTTTCATTAGTGCCTTTTACTGTATACATACACTGGCTTCAAAAGTTCTGTTGTGTGTATTACTATTTTATACGTAGACATGAGATTTGAAGTCACGCTATCCTAGGCAAAGCTTAATTACTTTTTTTTGACCAGGTTTATAGACGAAGTCAAACTTGTTACAGAAAAATTATAAATTTATTATAAACGTGTAGGACCCTGTGGAAATCGAAGATACGAGTTCTCGATTATTACTAATATATTGCCAATAATTCCGTCATAAATATAATAATAATGTGTTGTTGATGTGTAGATATTTCGAAATACTATATGCATTGCCGTCGATATTTTTATTAATTAAAAATATGATGTCAATATTTCATGAGAATTAATTTTCATTCAACCATTCCCCTGGCTCCCCTGTCAATTTACCGCAAGGTACGGACGTCCGGAACCCGTCGGGCGTCAATCTCGTTCCAGCATCATTCATTCATTCACGTGTGACAGGTAAGTGAAGAGGGTTCTATTTGAATGAATGATATAATATGCATCGCTCTATTAAGCGCTATTTGAGGCAAGTGCACTTAATTAATTTCGTTTCATTTATTAATTAATGCGGCGTTTATCACGCCTGTCATATTTAATACATCAGTTACAACGTTAAATATTCGCTGTCGACACAAACATTTCGATCAGTTCGAATTTCAAAAATTACACTTAGTATATAAGTACTAGCTGTGTCAGCGACATCGTCTGCGTAGAATTCTTATTTTGGGGATTAAAATTTGTTTTTAGAAACCACTTGTTCATCTTTATAAATTTAAGGTGTTACCCGCTACGGCCGGTCGCGTCTTTTATGCGAATTAACCTTAAAATATAGTGATATTATTATTTTCTATCGGGGACACCTTCGGCAGGACGGGTGATCAGTCCACGTTGTCCGCTGACCATTTCACCCATTTCCCCATAAGATAGTGATATAGTGTCGCAGACATTTTTTTTCGATCAATTAAAGACCTTCATACATATTGTTTGGTATCTTAAACCGTTTTTGCAGTATACAAATTTTTCTAACTCTTAAGCTTTATATATTACTGTAGATAGATTATAGATCAATTACTTCACATTGTCGTAATTAAAAAATATCTTGTTTTTCTAAACTATGGAACCAAACCTCATATGTTTTAAATACATTGCTACCTCTACCTCAAAATAAATGTAAATAAGGCGTAAACATATTTCTATATTATCTCATGTTGTAGTATATACATAATGTAGGTATGGATTACTCTACGTTCAAAGCTTAGTTCACTTCAAAAGCTTCTATCTGGAAGTTCGGCAATCAAGCAATAGTTCTAAGTTCTTTTGAACATTAATATCAATACATCTTGACAACTATTTCGCTACTAAAATATAGTTTGTAGTTTATTAAATTCTGTCATTTTTAACGACCTTTACTATATTTAGTTTTACCCACTGTAAAACGTTGATTAAATGTAATATAAACGCACTGAAGCACTCTGTCATTAGGCTGTAACTAATAATACATTATTAACCGTTTAATACTTGAAATACCATTCTTGGACTTGCGGATTGTTTGATCCCTGTCCCAAACATCGGGTTGTAGTTAAAAAAATACATTTCAGGTTTTAAACCCTTAATAGTGTTTTATTTAATGTGCACCAATCTCGCAAAAAGACCTTATTTCAATTCTATGTACCTCAGTAAGGATCGTAAAAATGGATTAGTCGTGAGAAGATATTTTTTGGATAGGACATCAAACGATTGTAAAAGAAGATAATAAGCTTTATCTCCTAAGCGCAGGTTTATAACTCAGGTCCGCATTTTATTACAATCATTAATTAAAGTGAGCATAAGAATTATTATCATCAAGTGCGCGACGTTATTTCACGCACCGCAATTTAAAGAAGTGGGTCACTGGAATTTGTTCCGCACTTCGCAAAATGGGACACGGCGCGGCTAATTGGTTTAACCAACCGCGTCTCACCTGAGATAAAGATTCAGAGGTTTTTATATATAAAATGGGTTAGGTTCATACCAAATGTGTGTTTTGTGCGCTAACTTCCTCATAACATGATACAAATTAATAATTACGCAGTTTGTTCATTGGAGGCAAGTGTTACCCTTTTTTAAAGACAGAGGAGGACAGACAATCATGAGGTAGGTAGGTAGGTAGACATCTTAACACGGCCGTCCACAGTTTCTAGCTTTGGAGATCCGCAAATTCACAGACTGGAACTGAAATGCGATTATACTTGACGACTTGGCGGATTTTCGCCATTCCTACCAGCCATCTAATATCCAGAGAACCAGACGAAGTTCAACATGTTACATTATAATCGATTAGAAACATGTTGGCCCCGACGGGGAACGAGCCCACGACCTCTTCATTATAAGATAGATATACATTGTTACAACAACAAGCCCAAAAACTTACGGTTTACTACTTTTTTTTTTCACTACAACTTACATATTTATCATTGTACTACTAAGGGGTTGGAATCGCGATAATAGATACGAGAAGGCAAGGCAGACTTAATTTACTTATACTTACTTATAATTTGTTTAATTAACTAAATCAGATGTCTGTGAATCCAAGAGGACTTACGGGATTTAATTTCACATATTAATGGGCACAATGGGGACGGAATTTTTTTAGCATATTTGCTATATAAAACCCCTCAAATAACCTTTCATATTT